AAAAATTTTACAGGGATTAAATTGCAAATCAAACTGCAGGTTGCACTTGTTCCCATAGCGTTATCATTCGATGCAAATTTACGATTAACCGTCAAGTACTGGCTTATTAAAGCAAAATCCAAGGTACCTCTAAATTGACTACCTTCAACATGTTAGCTGTCCTCTTGCACAAATTCAAACATATTCCATGATTTTAATTAAATACAAGTAGCACTACTGTTGTGTTATGCAGCAAACTGTAAACAGGACAGTTTATGGTTGGGAAACAAAAAAACCTCATGAAAAGAACCTGCTATAAAGGGTGAAATGCGTATTCAGGACGTATCCGATTGGACATTTTAATCTGATAAGGATGATAGGACATTAAGCTAAACGCTGAAAGGCAGAGTACTTTAGAAAAAAAGCCGGATTGAAACAAAAACATTTTTTAAAGCTAATATTGTTTGAAATTAAATGTTTGTTCTTGGACACTGACAAACGAACGGCTAACAATCGTTTTCTCAAAGTAGCCCCGGTCAGCACTTACTGCCGTACTTTTAAAAGCAAAGACTTCGAATTTTCAATGGTACGGAGAGAGGATCTAGCGATTTCGGCGTCTTCTTAGCAGATTTCGTAAAGTCAAGCTTTTATTTTAGCAAGATCTAGTACTGCCAAAGTTGCGTTTTTGAGATCTGAATAAGTTTAAAACTATTCACATGAGTTTATCATAATTTGAATGATTTTCTAGCTGTGGACCAAACCTTTCGCAGAGAATCAAAGGCCCATTCCCTGGTATCTTGAGAAGCTAAGACGGTTGTCACTGCTGCAGAATTTCAGCTTAAAAGCCACATGATTTGGCATTTCTCTTGATGACTGCTGCAATTCGTTCGATCTCTGTCTGAAACTTATAGCAGTAGGAAAATTATGACACATGGAAGATGAGGCGACATTCAAAGAATCGGGTAAATGAGCAGTTATGTGCTATTTAGGTTTGTTTAGCTAAACAATTTTATCCAAAGTTTAACGCAATTACTGGAAAGTTAAAACTGAGGCGAGCAACTTCTTGAGCTGTAGGTTCCTGAGAGGCTGGAACCATGGAAAAAAACTTCTTTTTTATCATTCTCACATTTTGTGAGTGTCTGCTGGGTAGGTTTTGTGCTTAGACGCTCGCTTTGCTGTGGCGGTGTTCGGTGGGGCTTAGTGAAGTCGTCTGTTTTGTTGACTCGACATTCAAATCACAGCTGCTATTAACGCGTCTTATTTGCTATCAGAATCTGATGAAATGCAAACAGTAATGAGTTATCGTGAGGTCTGAAAACGTCAAAAAAAACAAATCTAGATTTTGTACAACAAACACACCACTTCACGTTTTCTTCGTTATTTACCATAGCATCCAAAACGCAATTTTCGACAGTAGAACACACTTAACACCACCGTAGTGACTAAGGAGCTTTCTCTCAACTAATATTCCGCAATTAAATTAGACTGGCGATGCTCTTTTAATCAAAATTCGTTGAAGTGGTTTGAAGAAATGGCGTTTTGAGCAGCTAAAGTAAAGAGCAATATCTACGAATCTCGGCACATTTGTGGAACGCCATATTAGTAATTTCCGCACATGATAAAAGCGCTAAAAAGTGTTAAATTAGTGGTGCCTACTTCACAAAATTACTTAATTGCACACTGATGCTCACAAAACCGAGTTAGTTAATTGTCACCTTCCTTTCAATTAATCTTTTTTAAGGAAAACTTGTCGACTGCAGCTAAAACAGTTTGCGTTGCGCCATCAACGAGAACACGTCACTCAAATTGCATTGTTCTGCTCATATTGTTGTCGCACACGACTTCATTGGTTGACAATCGCTGGGAAAGTGAAGCGAACGCAAGAACACTCAACAAAACGGTGACCGGCCAGACAAAATAAACATGTGCTGTCTTTGCTGCGGTGCACTTCCATGTCCGTTTTACTCCGGATTGGCTAAGTCACTTATGAGAAAACTCAAACCCTCTGTTACACTTTCGGCAGCTTTAGTAGTCCACGCAAAAGCAGATCACCTCGTCAGTTAGTTTTGTTGCCAAGTGACCCAGAGTGGTCCACCACGACTTCACCCTCCCAGTTTTTTCTAGGATCCTAGTTCACGATCAGAGGAGTCAGAATTTAAAGGTCTGATGTTCCCTCAAGGTTACATCGGGTTATTGCAATGCACGTCGATGAAAACTGAATTCTGGTTTACATTTCAAACGCATGCATGGACACTCTCAGGAAAACTGAAATAACGACTGTCTTCATCCCTTTACTTAAGGTGACCCATCGTCCAACGTGTCATCCGTTGATTCCTGCATTGCTTCATAGAAGGTAACATTTGGATCAACGCAAAAAAATCAATAATCAGGGCCAGAATCGACGGATGGCCTTCGAGGGCTTTGGTAGTATGCCGCTATCACGTAGCACCCTGACCTGAGCATTTTGCCATGCTTTCAACAGAGAGGGACGAGGCGTTGACTGCATTAGCTGCTTTAATGAATTTGTCTGGTGCTGTGATTTCGCAGACACACCCAATTCCCCCTCAGTCTGCTTCCGCGAAGCTGCCAGCGTCGCTTGGAGTAGGGGTTAAGTGGATGTAGCCAACTGACATTGTCATTTTGTGGTTGCATTTAAAAACAAGATTAACCTGGTGATATATGCTTCCTACTAGACATTTATGCAAGCGATATAATGCAATTACCTGTGAAATCCACTTCAAGGTACGAAGTATGTTGGTGTGTTGCTGTCAAGTGATTTCAATCTCAGCTGAGTGATGGCTAAAGCGAAAAAGGAGTGATTTTTAGGTGAGCCCGAAATGTTTACGTGAAAAAAAATTAGTTTTGAAGATCAGCCAACTTATTGGCGCTATATGGCCAAGTTTTGCGTCCGGAAGTGACACTTTATCCCACGTTTATCCTAAAATACGTTTCGCATGCATGAAAAAGCATTCAAAAAACAGGTTCAAGAACCGTTTCAAATTTTTTCATCACTTAATCCCTATGGACCGTAGGCTGTTTGTGTCGTTACGTAGAAAACGCCAGTCTGAATTCAAGATCCAACAGTTAAGGTAAAGATAATTTAAATCACTCCCTTTGACTCAAATACCATATATTGGTTTGTGTTAGGAACACAAGTTGTACCGTGACGGATAAGAACAATTCAGTAGCTAAACTGAATGTTTTGGTACTAAATACAAACGCTTGACAGTGCTGCGGTGTGATAGATCCCCAGTAATTTGTCTTTCATGGCATGGATTTCGTTTTAAATATGAGAAACAATTAATCCATTGATGGAAATAAAATTTAAATAAAAAATCAGCTGTCGGTCGACGCAGCCATTAAAAATGGATAAGTCTTAAATATTTTAGACTCGCTCTTGTCCGGAGTCAGTGAACGTGGATAGGTGGTACCGAAAATTATGTTGTTAATTAAACTAACCATTTGAAGACCATTAAGCTGTCGTTAATTAAGGATAGGCGAATCCAAGTTATCTCCCATAATGCCCTGCCAATGAGCATCTTGCGGTCGGAATAATAGAAGCCTCTTCTTAAATGCCGCAAAAGTTACCCAACCACGTGTTTGTTTAAAGTGAAATTCCAGAAATTTTCGACTCACTTGGTGGAAAAAAAATCACCCCAAGTTACGTAATCAGTTTAATCCTTGCGACCAAACAAAATTTGAAATTCATTTGATGACCAGACGACTGGTCGGCTGTAAACGAACCTCGTAAGTTGCCATGTGCAAATCCGACAGTAGAGAGTGGGAAAACGTTTGTCAAGTGTAAATTTTATTACTAAAATATTTGCCCAAATCGCTTCCTTAAAATGACAAATTTGAGGACACTACCGACTGATAGTACGTGCAGATTAACCTGCACGTACGACAAATTATTGCGGAAGTAATGCTCAAAATATTGGTCAAACAAATTTAGCTGGCAAAGACGTAAAATAAAGTTAGTCCAACACCGAATGCATAACCAACGAATGCCCAATGGGAATGGTTAAAATTGGGGGCAATTTGAAAACCAGTCGATCGATAAATTCGCATTAAATGGACTCATCACAGACAAACAGATGTTATAGCATATTCTAGGAATTGTATGAGTGGTATAGTCAACTAAAATCATTATTATCAAGTTCCTAGAATGAGATTTCGGTGTGTTTGAAAATTAAGGAGTACGTTTACGCGCCGATCATGCGGCTTTAGTGAAATCAAAAGTCTAATGTCTTTTTCCTAAAAATGTGCTGATTCAGGAAAGTGGTCAAGTGTAATTTAATTTAGAAAAGAATCTCCACAAGCCGATTCTCTACTTAAAATGACTTTTAAACTCTAGCGCTTCAAACGATTAACATCCGTTAAGTCAACTTTTCACTTAAGCAAATTTTTTTGACCGTCTTCGGCGTCAAATTATTGCCGGCGTTTAGGCTTACCAATTTTCAACATCTTCTAAAACACCGTCATTTCTTAATGCGTGGCAATTTTAAGTCAGTCATTATAAATATGCCAAGTAAAGAATTTTGACGTCTAATTAAATTATGCAAGAAAATTTCCCCCTTTTGGTCACGTTTCGAAGATTTTAATAAATTATAATGATAGTTCACTCAGTTTGGTTAGACTCACTTCTACTGTTCGTGCACTTTTAGAGCACGATCAGCCTACTTATTAATGCTAACACCATTATTGTTTTTACAGAAATCTTTCCCGTCACACTGTTTAAAGGAAAGATGCAAAGAGCCAGGGCAATGGTGTCATGGGCTATTGTTGGTTAGGCACACGAAATCCACATCAACTCGATTAAACAGTGGGTTAAAAGCCAGCTTCGTACACGAAATTCCGGAAAACGAGTTTGTCTGTAAAGCTGTACACAGCACAGATTTCGACAGCCTTGGACCTACGTTAACACTGCAGCCTAATTAAACAGTCTAAAGGAGTAGTTCGTACAGTCATACCCACGTTCATTGATTGTGTGTCAAAGCAGATCCCACTTAGTCTTATTTCGGATGAGTTTTGCCCGGAGAGGCTTAGCCGAGGTCATGCAGAAGAGCCAATCCAAACGCAAGTCGATGCTTCGAGACGACTGCATATGGTCAGAGGACAACGTAAGAGGTTACCTGAACGCAGCTGCGTGTAGGTGATGCATTTTTAAGAACAATCCCATTAATTTGTTCACCGGGACACCTCGTATTTATGGTACGTCAGTAATTTCTTAAAACGATCCAATGTCAATAAATTATCGGCTTGTTTGACCCAGAAAATGAATCCTATTTTTGCTACGGCATAAGGAAGAGCTTGGAAATATGAGTATTTAAATAGTTGCTACTGTAAGTAGCAATTTCAGAAATCCATCTTTACTTGTTAGGAGATTTATTTGACTGCACTGACTGCCTACACTTCCTCAGGTTACGAATGCAAATTTAGTGATGGCTACAAAAAGATCATGGGACACAAGATTAAATGCACATCGTTAGTAAACATTCAGACAATGTACTCACTGTGTGATTAGGAGAAAAATTTTTTAAAATTGAAGGTCGATACATCGTTGGTTAGCAAACAATGTACTTATTTCTTCCCAGATGGAGATCTTCTTCACGCAAATTTTAAGGTGACACAAACTGCATTTAATTTTGATGACGTAGCAAAGTAGCAAAACGTGAGCTTGGTTGCTCAGTTGGTTAGATGTTTCTAGGGTGATTACGGAATGAGAGGCGAAAGGAAATCGACTTGTGTGGGTCACTTTATAGGTGCGCTAATGACAGGTTAAGAATTCAGCCAATCAATTTGCAGCTCTGGTATTCTAATATATATTGGGAAAAGAGGATTATGTACATCTGTGGTATTCCCGTTGTAGTAGGACACATCATGCGCATTGTAAGTGTTAAAAATGGTTTTCACCCATTTCGTGCATTTGACTAAATTTTTAATTCTAAGGAAAATTAACGGTTATGCAGCAAATCTTGTTTGCTTAGAATTGATGTGTTAGATTAATCAGATACTTTTCAGTTTTGTAAGCCAAAAAGATGAATTGAGCAACCGTTTTCCACTCTTGCAGCACCAGATATTTTGAAATACCCAAAATGGTTCACATAATTATTATTACCATTCAGTGCTCCCAAAACGTTTACTATTTGAGCAAGATCAACTGCTTTTCTAACCAGCCCCACCTGGATTTAATTGGTGGTATTTAAGCATTGCTGATTTGGCTTCTACTCTGATTTCGTAATTAAATCATCTCAAAGATATTTGTGCACTAAGTTGCTCCCTCGAATTTTTTAAACGTGAGCTAGTGGAGGCCTAACACTCTCTTGTTTAGAGCAAGTGCGAATCCCAGCACACCACAAAATCACAACCACAATGAGAAGACTACACTGTGTGACTTAATCTTCTAAGTAATCGCATAAATTAGGCTTTTTGTGTGATCAGAAATGCTGGCTGTTAAAGCTGTGGTCACTACCATATAACTTGACCGACTGCGTGCATTTTAGACAGCGGAGGTCGGCATTGTGCTGTTACTCGCTGCCTACTTCCCTGTGGAGACTATTGACGGGGTGAGTACATAGTTATGTTCACACAATTATGCCGTGAATCCACTTCAGGCAAAAGCCATTAGTGACCCAAATGCACACACACACACAAATTACTGCCGTTTAACCGTACTTCCTGTTGTAGAAGGGCTTTTGGCTTCATCTGCTTTCTTCAATCCAAAAGCAGAAAGCAAGCGAGGGAGAAAGTAAGATTTTTTCTGCTCTACCCTGATTATGATGTGGAGCCACTTATTTGTACAACATTTATGTTGCAAAGACAAAGGTGTGAGCTTTTGATGTTTGGACGAAGTCCTCAGAGTTGTTAAAATGTTTGTTTGCAGAAAACGGGTTTAAGGAGTTTGCTCTTTTGAGTTGTCCAGCGACAAACTCCGCCTTACTACCAGTGACGATTTTCAATTATACCAGACTTTTTGCTGACTTATTAGCTAGCATTATCGCAAAATCTTCGTTTGCAAATCGTTTGACTTTTTGTGCTACTCCAGTTGAATCAGAGACTAGTAAAATTTCTGTTATAAATGCAACACCGTGGATGTTCTTACAAACCCTAACTTAAATTTAAAGCACCTATTTTTTGATTAATTGTTTAAAATTGGGAAAATGCAAAAAAAAACACTTGAGAAATATCTGAATTGGGTATTTAGAGAAAAACGGTCGAACTGGTTATTTTGCGAATCCCATGAAAACGGATGGGCACAAAGTTGGACAGATGGTTCCTATTAAAGTAATGCTTTTACGGTGTAGCTTCAACAATTTTAGTGCAGTCATCTAATCCACTTGTAACAAATTAACAGAGATAGTAAGTTTGCGTAAATACGTAAAAATTGTTTAATTTTCTTATCAGAGATTAGAATCATTATGGTTAATAGTCATCTTCAATAACAACAACAATCAGTCACAAACCGGAATCAGTAAATCACGCTATTGGTAGCTGGATCATACATTATAATTCCAGAATGTAAATTTAAAATGAGCAGGCAAGTACAGGCACAATTTTAATCTCAAAAACTCCTTATTTTGACGCTTATTCTCAGAATCGCATTCAAACCCAAACAGATTTTGGGCCAGACTAAAAAGCACCCAACTTTTTGCTGCGTATGAAGTAGATTTTACAACTTAAGAGGGGGTTGACCGTTGGTATTTTGTTTGTTCTAGTGCCTAAGCAAAAAAAACTGACTAATTTGTGGAATTAAGCCGCTGGTCTTGCATGGGTGAAAGCTTGGTAATATTTAAAGTAGGTCACACCTATCCTTCCTCGGTAAAAACAAACTTCAAGTGTCGAAGCACGCTTCGAAATATTTTTCCCCGAAGACATAAAAAGTGGGAGGACAGACGTTTAATTAAAGTAATTAGTCTTGCCGAGCAATCACACCCTTAAAGTTTATTGCGATTGCTATCTGGGTGGCTTGTTTAAAAGTAAACCGGATCCCTAGCATCGAGGTTGAGGCTAGGCAGTGTTTCATTCGAATCCCGCCGCGTAAATGACGACGTGGCTAATAATCATTCCCAAGCTTGATTGACTGGCCTCATAGCTCAAAACCACTGCATTTAAGTGTAACCGTACACGTCATTGAGCAAACTGCCTCATTTGCACAATCGAAGTGACTGAAACCCAATACCCACGATCGGAATTGCTGAACGCGGTGTCCCAAAACCAAAACCTCGATGGTTATATTCACGCAGTTGGAGAAGGTCTTAGCTGTGACGCCTGCATAGGGCTTTGTGCAAATAGCTCTAACTGAACAGGGGTATTTGGCTTCTTAAAGCTATAAGAGAGCACTGTGGCCGGAGCCGGTATCACTCGGGTGGTTTGGAGAAGCGCATCATTGGCGGCGTGGAGTCGCGACAATTCGAGTGGCCCTGGTTGGTGTCCATTCAGCTCCAACAGGAAATACCGGCTAACCAGGTAAGCCATTATGTCTGCATCCTGTCTGAGTGTTTGGATGTTACCTAGTTCTTGGTAAGGATTATTCTTAACTTCTCACCGAGGCATGTGTCTTTCAACATTACTGATCTTGGTTTCTTGTGTGGATTGTATGGACGTTTCTATCACACAGCAAATTGACGATTCATTCTAGTATGAAAGAACACACGTCATGTCTATTGCTCAAAGGTGATAATATCCTGCAAAGTATTGCGTAAATCTGTTTACCGTGGAGTCACAACCTCATTACACTTCAATCATCATTAGAGATCACCTGGGACATGTCAAACGTGAATTTCATGAGATTGACCAACACCTATTTCAATTAAGGTGAATCAAAATCGCAAGACTATAGCCACTTGGCTAAATTACTTATAGCCTTATAGTTTGTAAATTAGCAAGTGCTTTTCAACATCACAATTAGTAAAATGAAAATTAAACATTCTGTAAACCAGAAAGATTTGGTGATCGTCTTAAAAGATCATACGTTTCCTCCATCCATAGGATAAACTTGCAATACCTTGTCTCTAAAACATTCTAATGACTAAATTCGTGAGGCGATTTTAGCGCTATGCGTTTTAGCCCATCGATGCATCACAAGTCGTCTAAAACAAACCTTCCGCCGTTTACTTTGACCAATTATTTTGACATTTTCTTAGTTTCCTGTGATTTTATGTCGGCAAACAGCACCGCATTCATTTGGCACTTAACAACCAATGACTTTGAGTTGCCTTAAGGTAATTTGAAATAGCGGTTTTGCCCATTGGCATAGCGTCCGTGAACTCTTGACCAAGCAAACTGATTTTGATAATTACCGAACAGTGTCTTTTTGTATATTGTGGTAAAACGGCCTTTTAAAACGTTGTATCAAGGAATAATCGTTTCGTCAAATACACATTACTTTAATCTGTTCTTTATTGCTTAAAAAAGGACTGAAAAGAGGCCATCTCGTAAGCAGAATTATAGCGCTTTAATAAAGTTCAAATAGGTTAATGAATAAAAAGGAAATATATGCACATACACACACATACATTAAACTGTTAACAACTTCCTGTCAAAATTGCGGTCTGTTGGGTGTACTCCAAGCGCCTTCCTGCAATAAAACTGCTACCGCCACGCGCTTTGGTAAACAACAAATGTTTGTTATGTCAATTTATTGCGCCTTCCTCTGGCAGTTGCATTAATTAAGGCAATTATCGTGTGCTCAACTAATTGCTCAATTTAAAGACTGATGTACACTTGGGGTTTCTCGGTAGATGCAGGAAACGTCCGTGATAAAGTCGATTCTTATTCCTTAGTCACAAACTCCCCTCGACATATTTGACAATTTTTTGAGAAGAGCTTCTTTTTTACCCCAGCAAAAACCAGTAGTTCAGTTAAAGCAGGTGAGGTACCATACGAGAATGACTAGCCATCGAACGTCTCCAGATAAAATGCGTATTGTCGGACAAATTGAGAGCACAATCAAGTGTGGTGTTGTCTAATTTTGTCGCCTTATTCTGATGCTCAGGCTGGCAACACAGTCGCACTGGAGGCGATAACACAAACGCCGAAGAAGCGACAACCGAACTTGCGTTTGCTCTTTGAGCGCCTCAGTTCGGAGGACGAACCCGAGGCGAGGGAGGCGATCATGCAGGAGATCATCAAGATTGTTAGCGATCAGCACCCAGCCGGCAACATGACAGCGCCCTCCAGGACGAACCAGGAGAAACTGGCAGGTCACATCTGCGGCGGCACCCTCATCAGCCCATCGTGGATCCTTACGGCTAAGCATTGCTTCGAGTGAGAACATTACCCCCCTTATCTGCTTGTTTTACCAATTGAATTTACCTTATCGTGTAACATCAATTGTAGAAAGAGCTAGGTTAATTAAGCATACTTAAGCGGAACGCTGATATCTTGCGTTAGGCAGGAATTTCGAGTGCTTCTCCAAGTCAAACTAGTATGCTTTCAAATTGAATAGTCCGGTCCAAAAGAACATGTTCAAGGCAACTTTAAAAAAGCCATTCAAAAATGCGTAAACGTGGATACTCTGTCCAACTAGCGACCATTTCAGCCTCAGCTAAATGTCAACTTGTTTCAATATCCAAATGCAAATCGCGCCAGGTCATGCAAACTTTACCACCCCACGTACATGTGAATTTGCAGGGACATGCTGAGGTAGAAATGATTCCACCAGGTAACTGCCTATTAATTACGATCTCTTCTCCCAGAAAAGCAATAAACGCGGATAACCAGACTCAGATGTTCAGGCAGCCGTTTTATTGCCTGCCTCAGAGTGGTTTAAGTTGGTGCGGGCAGCTCGGAGTTATTCTCGCTTGCCTAAATACCCGTCCAAGGCTGAGAAATGATTTTTGGGTCGCCTTATTGGCGAGGTTGATTTTCGCCTTGAGTTGCCATGATTACATTTTTGTTAAAATAATGAAGTGTGGAGTTTGTGCTCAAAAGTGGTGCATGAGGTAGAATTCCTTGCACTTCTAAAGAAGAATTTTAATTTAACCAACTTTGTAAATGGGCGTTTAGCAATGAAGGCTTATTTTGTATCATAACACGAAGTAACAAGTCTGAGCTAATTGCCTTTGCTCGTTGCCTTAGTCACATGCTAATGATGTTGACGCGATGTTTCGTGAAATGAATTCATTCAAAGCAATTGGCCAATATTTGACGGTTTGAATTAATCTTGATTGTATCTTTGTACATGGGGTTAAAATTTACAAATCATAGTTTAAATCAAACTGAGATGCACGTAACATGTGTTTGTCTTTGATCCGTTCTGTGGAAGACAATGGAACCCAACTCCTGTATTCCAACGACGGATCTTCATGCCGATTTAAGACCTAGCATCTAGATAACTTCATGTCAGAACACTACTACCAAATTTATTCGGTGAATGATAGTATATCGCCGATTTGGCATCTCACCACCCTAAGAAGCGTTCGTAATGACTTTTGATTCGATATTTTACTCTTGGAACTAGGGTGTTTGTATTTGCATCTTTCAGCTCCCAGCTGAACCCCTCTCTGACGGCAGATCCGTCGCGGTGGATGGTTCGCGTGGGTGAGCACAATCTCCACAAACCTGAAGAGTTTCAAGTTGATCACGAAGTGGAAAAAATCATCGTCTACCCTTCAGCTGACGGTACGTCGATTGCAACTTGATGCGAGTACTTAAAAATCCACGTGCTGGGGTTAGTAGCTCCAAGTGATGTTGTCTGAGGAAGTACACTCGTGGATTAATTATTTTAAAACGTAGGGAAAGCCATATTACACTGAATGGAGGAAAACAACTCCAGTGTTATTTTGAATTACCTGTCCCCTTTGTTTTAGATGTTTATGACAGCGAGGCGGGCGTTCGAGATGACATCGCACTCATCAAACTGCGAAATCCCGTCAAATTTAACAAAAATGTCCAACCCGCCTGTCTGCCCTACCCCGGGGAACAATTCAAGGCTGGAAGTGTCTGTGCCGTGGCCGGTTGGGGTGTCACTGAGGAAGGTTTGTCACATTTTAAAAAAAACACGTCTCCTCAAGTGCTACAAATCGCAAACTGACACACACAGTCAAAAAGCCTCTTACAATGGTCTGCTTGAATTCAGTTTTTGTTTAATTTGTTCGATTGTCTCATTTTTGGGACGAAATACTAAACAGGATCAAGTTCTAACACTTTAGCAGGGTCATTGATTTTGGAATAGGCAATGAGATCTGTTTCTTTCCCCGTGAATTGTCAAAAAATGGTAGATAGTATTTGTTAAATAGGTGGCTATCTCGTGATTTCCTTCATTTTAGGATTATAAGGCTGTGTATTTCAGTAAATTTTCTGACTGAATCTTCTACCAAATTTTTTAAACATTTTGTCGGACAGAATGTTTATGATCTTTAGGCGTATACCTACTTGGTAAAAATCAGTTAGGAATGAGAAGGATTAGTGCGGAAGTTAGAGTGGAACAGAATTAAACCTAGGGAGCCAAAATGACAGTAATTTTCCTATTACCAGGTTTCAAACCGTTAAAAGTCAAAGTCTGCCAATGAAGCTAAAAGATCAACACGACTTCGCGGACACAAGCATTCATTCAAGTGCTATGCTTAGGGGTGTCTTAAGACAGAATCAGTCATCCAAAAATCGATCGTAAACGCAGACAAGCGTGCCTAGACATTCTACAAAAAATGATAAAGAGGCATTCCCCTCCTTCTTAAATTAATGAGGTCGGTACTCCCAGTATTTCAGGGTGTACTGCTATTACAACTAAACACTGGCTAATCCTTCTTGTTTGGTACCTTACCTACCTTAAATGAACTACTGGTTTTCGCTAAGGTTTAATGGAAACTCTTCAAAAAATAAAAAAAAACTTTTGCAGATCTGGAGTATTTTCATTCGAGCAGAATTGTCCTGTTTGCATGACCCGGTGCGACTTGAATTTGGATATTAAAACAGGCTGACATTTTATTGCAAGCACCACTAACAAATGCTCATGTGGCACCATTTTATTAATAGCAGTTATATTAGTGCACTTAGCTCCCATGTTTGTAGCGCAATTAGCTGTAGCATCAAAGTGGTTCAATTTGACACTACTTTGATTCCGATAAGTTTAATTTAATTTCTTTTATTGGTCAAATGTGTCCAATCATTAGTAGAAGAACACTGACGCCTGTAAACATTTAAAGGAATAATAAATTGATGCCGTGTTTGTCGAAACACCAGTGGAACGTGTGAGCGTATTTCAGGCAACTAATCGGAAATCCCTTTAACACGCTGGCTTAACGAGCATTGCGTTAGTTCCGCACTTAAAGATTACAGGATAGCGAAATGGATATTCGTCTCCTTAAGCGCATTTTCTACGCAGGCGCTACACCTGACCAAATCCACATACAATTTTGTCCTGGACAACAAACTGTTGGGGATTCCCGGATTCCCCAAGATGGCTCATCGCTGGTTTTTTGTCATTATTTACACTAATGCTCTAACATCCGTGTTAATCCGCTTTCATGAATCAGGTCAAGGTAACCATTGACCTACATAAGTGTTCACTTTATGGCAGATCACTCGTCTTTTAACTGAGACGATTAAAGCTGTCTTGCGTTAGCAGGGAAAAGTGTTACGTCTGTCCGTAACAAAAGAAAACACCTATACAGGTAACGGTACCCGATCTCTTGTTGACGCTAGAACCGACCTTCCCGTGCTGCTACAAGAACAAGTTCCGAGCTCGTGCTGAGAGCTTTAATCACGTCAGTCACGTGTGGAGAGGGTTGTCGAAAGGGTATATTAATTCAAGTCAAGGTTGACCTTGACTTGATAAAAAGCGTAGTAAAAGAGATTTCAGGGAATTACTGTAAGTAATGACAAAAATCGGCGATGAGCAATCTTGGGGAATCCCGGATCCCCAACAAAATTCGGTCCTAGAGTCAGACATGGGATCCAGCACCGTTTATCTGAGTGGGTTTATCTTGATTACGGGTAAATGTAACAAAAACATCAGCAAAATTTTAGGTGTGTAAGATGTATTCACACGTTTGCATTACTCTACACTTTAAAAAAAAAAATAAACTGAGAAGCACTAACCACCATTTGCTATGTTTCATCAGAGAACATGGCGTCTGAGGATCTAATCTTAATCTTTCATGCTATGATAGGGGCGCAATTATCACCGACTCTGCGACACATCAGGGTGCCTCTGATATCGCGCGAGGAGTGCAAGGACATTTTCGCGCCCCTGATGCTATGGAGTCCGAGTTTTCAAATCCTCCCTTCAGTTTTATGCGCGGGAAACATGGGACGAATGGACGCTTGTCAGGTAAAAGCATTGCTTTCACACAGAGCCCTTTTCGCCTGGTTTGCGAGGCTAGATGCAGAATCCTTGTTATTAACGCGCAACAATGGCTTCGGATTTGGTCGCGTTATCTGCGCAATTTCCGACTAAAAGATTCACACATAAATTTGTTGAACATGCTTTTTTTTGACTAATTTCAATCGTGATTGAAATGCTTTGCAAATACCTAGAACTTACAACGATCGTGTTACCAGAATATTCATTTTTGGATATGCATAAGCACCTCCCAAATGGCATTCGCGTGAAAAAAACCATTAAATTATGAATTTAAAAGTTACTCGGCTTATACGACATTGGCATGGAGTGAGGTCACTACGTATGGTTAGTCTTTTGTGATTTTGTGACAGGCAAGACAGTCGAATTCACCAAATCCTTCCAACCACTTAACACTGCAAATACTTCTAAGTACTTCATGCCGTACAATAAATAACGGTATTGTGGAGATAATACAAGCAGAACTTTGAAATAAAATTGTACGGTTTGCGCTAAAAAAGACAGCGAGAAGAAAACGCCGAAACGCACTCTAATTTCGAGTTAAATTATTCTAGATCTTAGTAAATTTATGTAAATTTAAATCCACACAAACAATACCATAGTGAAACAAAGTTAAAACCTTTTGTGGCAAACGGAGAGCTAACGTCATTATCACAAGGTTCGCCATCAATGTGACGGGTGATATACCGCTTTGAGCAGGTTAAAAACGCCTGCAAGGACGCTAAAGAATCAGTTTACTTCTGTCAAGTATCAACATTTATCAGATCAGGGGGAATTGGAGTCAAAGTCCCTTTCCATGTTGCGTTTTTTTAAATTTCCAAACCACTGATGAGCTAGGTGAGGACATCACGATCACTGATGTGGGCGCCAAGACCTGGTGGCGGGACAGGCACACAGATGGACGATCGAATGCACCGTCTAATGCCCCTCTTTCTTCCCTGCAGTACGATTCCGGGGGCCCGTTGATGTGCTCCTCCGACGTCGATGACCAGTACATCGTCGTGGGCATAATCTCCTTCGGATTCAAATGCGCCTCCGGATATCCCGGAATCTACACACGGGTGACCTCGTTCCTGGACTGGATTCACGACATCACCGCCAACCACTAGGGCATCGGCTGAGCCCCGGTCGCGTCGATGTTGCCCCATCCGTGACGCTAAAACTTTGAGTGTGATTTCGCGCTTACACGTGGTCCTTTCCATCTCGACCAATCCCAACGGATGAAATTTGTTGCTTATAAACACCCGAAAATGGTTAATAGAGACATTAGTTACCATTAGCATAAGAGTGGTCAAATATTTCAAGCGAGGATTCATTCCATGATTGCAACCAATGGACGCCAATGCGAAATTTCGTTCCTACAGTTACCAAGACGATAATTTGTGGATCCTTGAGATGGCCGTAAAAGTTTAATCAATACGAGTGGGTCGCAGCCGATTTGCGTCCACACAGGAAACCTTAAGTTGGGAAGGCGGTGCGTAAATAAACCTCCACTCTAGTCTTTTTTTCTCACGAATGCATGCTCCCCAAATTCCGCGCGACGTTGGAGCTTAACACGACTTTGAATGAGAGGGTATTTTCTCACGGTGTGTTTTGGCGCCTTTTGTCGCGTTGCCATGGTTCCTTGATATTTTTATTTTACAAATGCGCTTTCGTGTTGAAATTCCCTCCGGCGCATCAGTGTGAAGAAATTGGTAAGTGCAAGCACGTTCACATGCCACACTAGACGTATGACTTTGTTTTGGGCCCCAGCATGTGGTCTTGAACCACGCCGGGGCCACTGACTTAACCCTGGCCCGATTACGCTTGCCTGATACCCGCGATGAAGAAAAAGATCGGAGAGGGCGTGGACACAACCGTTTACTTCAGAGCTCAACCACGTTGGTGTCGTGTGTGGTGCTTGCGCGTGTGCATTTATAGCTCGGATGTGTGACTCATACATGCGCTAACATCGAGACCTATGCGTGGGGACACTCCAAGATAAATATTCGGGCTAATGAAGGGGGAGTTGAGGATTCGAGCGGCTGGCGACATGCTACGACAAGGGGAACCCTGTGTAGGAGGTGGAGCCACCGGATTAGGGGGTTGAATAAACACGATTCACGACAACTTCTCGAGTCGTAGTACAACTAAAAAGAATTGGACTGGGACTTTAAACATACTGTTTACCACCAGTTCGGCTGCATGCAGGCTGCGCACAAAGCGAAACCCGTCAAATCCTTCCGTCAACACACTCGACTAGAAGAAGATGAAAGCGCTGTCTCAACGTGGAAGGAAAGACTTCACTTGCATGTAAGATTGTAGTGGCACAGAAAAAATTTTCGAGCAAATAGGCTAGTGCTGGCATAAAAGGACACACAGGTGTGCCGCGGTAACTGGTTTCAGAGATAGCAGGTCTTGTTTGATCTCAATCAACTGCATTGGGCATAAACGGTCCCATAGTAGAGCGCAACGCGCATGGAGCGACGCGCGTAAATAGATAACTATTAAATTAAGCACTAGTGAAAGTGCAACAGGGATTATGAGGAAATCGAATGAGTAAATTAGGGATATTAAATCCAATTTGAGCAAAAAGCTTGTACGAGGGTAGTAGAAGTGTTAAGTGGAGCACTTTTATCTGATTCATTAGCTGAATTCTTCCTCATGTCTACACAACTGGGAATTCCGTTAGTGACACCTCATGGAGACGACTAAATGCTAGAAATTTAAGGGCGTAATTATGCAGAGCGCAAAACACAAAAATAGAGGAAAAACATCCGTGTGGGCGGTTAACTGACAAATCGGTACACATACACACACCCGCATTTGACGTGCCTGTATCAAACCAGTAAGTGTTGTTTCCTAGACAAATATACACACAGTACCTTCTGCCTCTAGCGAATGCACAGGCGAGAACTCAAAGCTGCAATTGTTTACAGTTATCTTTTAAATGATTATCCCTTAATCATACAAACCAATCAAATCAACACGCTGCAAATAGTGGTTGATTGCGAAAAAGGCATTTCTACCGCCTAGACATCGGCCATTACTTGTGTTAATAAGCGGTCGCCATGACTCAATTGTAGCGTTTTTATCAACAAGCTTCAACAGACAAATGTTAACTGTCATTTGTTTAAAAGTGTAGGAGTTAGCAGCATCGGTCGGCAATTGCAACTTGTTTCTAAATTGAGAAATATTCATGTATCGATATGGCACAAGAAATTCTCTGTGCTTAGACAATTGCTTTGATGGGTAATGCCAATTAGCCAAAGTTAAATTAGTAACTAAGACCGATACATCTGTTTAGAGAAAATTTCGCGTACATTTCTGAAGTCTTATGGCTGGTCTTGCCAATGATACTTTGCCTGTCGCAACTTCCCCAAGAGAATAGTAAGAGAATGCAAGGATAATATCACTGATTAGGAAATGTTTGTATTCATTAATACTAAATAGTGAATTAGGGAGGCCATTTGATGGCAATCGGCCAAATTTACATATTCCTAGGCTTCTTTTATCCCAAAAAAACATTTTACCTACTGGTTGAGGATAGGATTTATTGTTTGCGTCAATTCTGCTGGGTGTAGTGGCAACGCGAATGCCGAAAGTTAATTGGTTTAGTAAAAAAACTTAGTTACTTACCATACCTCTCAGGTCATAATAACTTACACAAGTGAAGATTATTTTACTGAACAAAACGCACCATTTTCTCACATCCGCGTGCATGAGGTTACCCTAAGAGGTGCTTAGGCACTTAGTCGCGATAATTAACTCCTGCCTGTGAGTTAGGTTACACTGCAGTTCGTGGCAGAGCTGCAAATCAACCTCACCAAAGGAATCTGCACAGAACATCAAGCTATCAATACACCGCGTATTGGGGATTCAACTTCCATCAAATCAAACCACAAACGCGGCCTGATTTCCAGGAAGAGCGTCTTTACCAATGGAAAATTGCATTTAGTGTAGAATGTATAAAATTTCGGCTTCTATGGGTCTTGCTTTGTGTAGTAGTTTGCTTCACCGATGATGCATCCACAGAGCTAAAACGATCAAGGTTGCAAATTACAAATAATTTAACTTAATATGAAGCACGAGTCTGATCTGCAAAAACAAACCATAAACTCAGACACGAGAAGCCTCGAGAATGGGTTAGCTCAAAGGGATCAAATTTCGGCAGCTTCCTAGCGACCCTTTGAAATCACATAATCACATTAATTGCCAAATACGTTTTTCCAAAAGCACTATCAGCAAAAACAGAATCGATTTCTAGTCAAAGTTGAAACAAAGCCTACGGCTTACCTCTTACTGTGGGGTACTGGAATTTGATATCCTGCCGCAACTTGTAGTACAAGATCTTAGTGCTTACATTGAAAGGATACTGTGCGTCCAAAATGGCCGCCTTCTTCGGTTAGACAAGAACAAACTTTTTCACCAAACTACAGCACTGACAAATTTTGCAAAGCATGATAACTATTTATGCCGTCTCTGAACAAACTACAGGCAATGATTAAACATTCAATGCCGAAATTACTTTTTACAAAACCAAAATTTATGGGTTTTTGCTTGGTAACCTATATCAAAACAAGTCAGATTACGCCGATTACTGAAGTTGGGCAAAAAATTGCAGGACAAAGTTAAAAAACAACTACTCTTCTGCAGGCGGGATCTGCATTAACTATTATAAAGCCAAAACCGGAGTTGTCTGTACCTGGCTAGATGCTTTCAGAAGGAATTTAGTACTAGATGGGGCAGATAAATGTTTACTAGCTCACCAGGCAAACGTCCTTTCAAAGAATTCTGTTTGTGTCTTGCCGACTTGTCTAAAGGGATTCTCCGCATCGCGATACCGACCGTTGCCTCTTACAACTCAAGTTGATTTTAATTCCTTAAGTCTGAGACCGCTTGAGAATGGCAGTATGGCTATGAATCACGTGAGAGGGACACTAGAGGCGAGTTTGTCCCAAGAAATCATTACAGTATTAGCTATTACGTGCATTTTTAGACGTGGAACTAATTTTCACCGCAACTATACGATGATATTACCTGTTTTTTAACATGACTGCCAAATTTCTCTCACGTTGCGGCGTTTTCAACACTCATCAATGCAAAAAGTACCACTTTACGGTGTTTAAATTTAGTTACTATCCAGAAACACACGTAAGAACTCTAGAATGGCAAAAAATTCGTCGAAATAGAATTACTTTAATGTATTTTCCACGTATGTGGTTCACGAGCTCGTGGACACAACGCGCGTTCAGCATTTATTTGTTGTGGGCCCGGGCAGGTGGTTAAGTACCACGTTTGCGCGGTCTGGATGAATCTGCTAAATTACAAATGGCTGAACGATCAGGTGAATGGGCAGGGGGCTTGGCATGAGCGATAGCGACGCCTCTTTACACAATGACATTTCTTGAGGCAGTGATTGATGGCAGCGTCAGCAAAGTGGTCAAGCCTGTGAAGCAGTTGACTGTGTCGGCAGTGAGAAGGTGAGAAAGTAGAGGCTTCAGTGAACGAAGTAGATCAAACACCTTAGACCGCAACTACGCGTCACCCTATATCTTGCTTGCGCCTTACATCCACGCTGGCCCTCTTGACACATGACCTCTATGAGGCTGAATTCATGCAGCAGCCACATGCATAGATGAACACGTGCATACAAAGCTTTCATTGTGGGCCCCAGCATGTGGTCTCATTGTGTTTAATTTAGCCCAAATACGCTGCCTTGAGCACCAGCAAGAATGAGGAAAACCGGCGAGGGTGAGGTAGTTCAACGAACTTGTGGTAGTCGCGGAACCGCGCATAAAAATGTATCTGACCAGGTGGGGTTGTTGATCATTACAGTTTGGGTGAACCCGTAAGAGCACAAATAGCTGAACGGGCAGCGTGGGGGTGGTGCTCTCAAGGGGTTGTATGAGCAGACGGTTTAGCAAGATAGATAGGGACAGAGTGGAAATGAGGTCAGAATGGAGGAGAATGCGACAACCAGGTTAATGGACGCTGATCAATACGCTTCAGCACAAATTTCAAATTGAATTGTGGGCCATGTTAACATCGCCAATACCCTTCGTCATTTAGGAGATTCCACATCATTACTTATTTTTTCATCACTATGACGTTTGCAATCGCTTCGTTGTTTTGGAAGGATTGACTGATTCTCAGTCCATTGGTTTTCGGCTGTTTCTAACAAAATGAATTTGAAAACATGACTGTGGTCGGTGTAAAAGCACAGTAGATGGCTACTCAGAATGAAACTCATTAAAAACACGCGAGTGGAAGGGGTTATAGGCACCGCTAGGTGTACTAAAAAATCAAGCATTCAGAAGAGTTCAAGTTGCTATAACAGCTTCCAGAGGTCTTCAGAGAGCACAATTTGGCCATCGACCTTGGTAGAACTAAGGAAATTATCTTGGGTGCCGACAGCTAGATATTCTAGGGATTTGGCGCTGAATCACTTGAACTAACCGCCTCACGGTACGTTGATGCTTTTCAGATTGCGAAAGTATTCCGAGTAAAGAAAGCGTAACCACCACAGCAATGTCCTTCGACTATTTGAAAGTAGTCGAGGCCGTTTTGAATCCAAAAAGAAGGTGGCTATTCTATATCTGGCCAAATGGAAGATGATCAATTACGGTAAGCTGGATTCACGAACTACTTCGACGTCGGTGGTTGGTAGCATTACAAGCCCAAGGTTTGGTGAAATCCACAAATCCTTGAAGGAAAGACGCTAACAGGGGATCACGGCTATCGGATGCGACCGCTTAATCATTTTCTAGGCATGGTGTGTCGTTGTGAACGCGAATGTACGTGCATTTATGGAGCACTATTGATTACTGACAAATGGAAGAAAATGATGAGTCATAAATGCTAGAAAATGCAGTTTAAACAAACCTTTACCCCCATTCGTTCACTTACGGTTCACAGCACTTGCCTCTATAGGTTGGTCTAATCGAATTATAGGTTTTCACAATGATGTATTAAACAAACGCGGTTTGAATTGGTGGTATGCATTGCCTCGATGCTTGCTGCCGTTTAAGTAAAAAGGCTCTGAACTCAGCAATTTCAATCTAAATTTTCAAACAAACATTGCGAGTGAGTCCTGTATATACGTATTTATACAGGTCTGCCCATGGCAGTGTTGGAGCATTCCCTTATATGTCCAGTAATATCTTTGAATTTTTACCCGAGTGTGTGAGGAGGCTAAAGCTCTTCGCATAATATAGTGGCTTAAGTATTTCCTACAACCGATTATGTGAATTGGACAAGAACTTTGCATCTCGATTCTGCATTAGTGATGAATCATTTCGCATGTGCGAGGCCTAAGGATCGAAATACAAAATTAGGAATTTCTATTGTTCGCCGTAGATCAACAAGTAGGGTTAGTTTGACGTTAGGTTGTGATTACTTAGAGCTGAGCCAAACAACTAGAAGGCGAAAAGAGAATAAATCAGCCTAAGAGCCACATAAGCATTATAAGCACTTCAAACCAAAATTCAAACCAAACTAGAATCAAGTTCCAGATTTTCGGAGAGTCCGCTTTCATCGCCGATGGCATTGAGTGGTTATGCTCAAGGGTATCGAGAAGATGTCGCTAACTGTCTGCGAACATAGCGGTTTGCTAACCAACAAATTTAAAAGGTAACACTGTTAGTTGTGGATTTTGTCCTGAATTTGTCGGTTCCACGAATGACGATTTCAATGTGTCTTAAATAGCTCTCGTCTTCATTCATAATCAATTGAGAAATCAGAAAAGCATGCCTAAAACAAAGGACATTTTTGATAAAATTCTTTAAAATTTGATTAGTTTTATTTAATGCACTTTTTTGTGCGAATAACCAAATTATTCGTTTGAGGTACGTTTTCGGCGTCCTATATATAAGGTAACAAATCAGATTGTAGAACACGTCGTTTGCCTAGTAACTCAAAGACTACAGAATAAGGTCTTCAGATATCAGAAAAAACGCGTCAAATCTCAATCGAAGCGTGGTACTTGTGTCAATTCTAACCATTTATTTACGTTTCAGGGCGATTTTTGTGAGTGGTGGATCTTGCCGATCGGCATGCGCCTCCATCAACCACTGAAAAAATATTTCCAACAGTTAAGCATTGACTTTCTAGCCAGAGCCTCCATATTTTAAGGTCTTCAATGTGTCTCTTCCTCATCAAGTTAACGAACAAACTCGAATGAAGAAGAACATATCCTACGCACTATGAAATTTGTTCGGCAGACAGCGTTCTAATTCGCAAGTCAACAACCTGTAGCGGATTAACAAGATCGTGCCTGAGTGAACCATGGTTACTGACCTGACAGTGACAATGACTCACCCCCTTTTTCATTGGTTACTATATCCGATGCCTGTCATCCGTTCACTCATCCACACACTTCGACACACTTGGCTGGTTCGACTCTAATAAACGGTCGTGTTCTCTGTCGCCTCCTTTTTCCTATCCTCGGGTAGCTACGGGCTGTTAACTAGAGGGTTGTATGGTAGTGCTAAATCCTCTAGTCACTACAAACCCATGAGTGAACGCCAGGTAAACAAAGTAAACAGAAGTCTAATTTTTGGCGTAGTGGCTTCTGAATATGCTTAAAACAAACCTCTGACACTGTTCAAAGAATGATTCCTGCGCATTCATTCATTCATTAAAAAAGTTATAGTGCCTACTTTGAACATTTTAACAAACTGCCTAATAGGTGCCATTAATGGTCTGAAAATGAAAATATTTCTTGACTTCCTCAAAATCTTTCAGGTTCACATATTTTTAAAGCCAAAAAGCCTAAAGAAATTTATAAACATTAACTTGACAATGTCATAACTCCGCATTCGGTTAAAATTGTTTTAAGCAACTGCGAAAGAAAGCGGCTTAATCGCTGTTGTGGGGCTGCTGGTCATTTGCTATCGTGTCAAAGTTTTGGCATCAGCTGTGAGCTATGGCCGGGAATCCTGAGTCATTGGAAAACATGATAAGTGAGAAAAGTTATGGTTTTAAATGTGGCTTCTATTCTATTTTTTAAGGGTATTATGTCAAAACAATTGCTTGCTGTAGCGAAAGCTCTATTAGTAGAACACTGTCTAGTCGAATATTTTTCACTTAAGTGTGTATACCTTTAGCCAACGTTGAAGTCCTACATCGAACGTATCCTTCTGCTAGTGTTGGTCCCTCCTAATATTTTAAGTGTTGCTTCTGGAGCAGACGAATCTCGACTTTGGTAGATCAAACGTGCAATTTTGTTTCCTGTCTTTGAACATGTAAAATTAAATCCAAGGCAATGACTTAGAAAGTTCGTTCATTTTTTGTCTAAAGCCGAAGTGACGAGCCCTTTGGCAACGCATATTGATTTGAATGCATTCAAGAAAATTTACGACCAAATCAATGCCGAAGCAAACGCTCCCGAAACTGCTCTGAGACTTCTCGCTCACAAAGTTCAGTCGCCCCAAGAGAAGGAGGCCATGAGCGCTCTTGTGGTAAGGCAAAACATTCATCAATGTAGCATTAGCCAATGTTGCCTAATTTTTTTAATTAAATCCTAATGTCATTTCCCTCTTGTCATCGCCGTACCTTAAGGGAACTTTCAGGCCTGCCATACCATACCCTTTCCTCTTAGCAAAGCGAACACATGTCATACGTTGGATTTACTTTTGGGAGAATTAATTTTGACTGTGATCCTTTTTCCGATCACAATCACTAACCGAACCACTCGCAATATAATTTATTTCAGCCCAAGTAGGACAATTATTGGATACGCTGCCTCTTACATCGACCGTTGTTATGATATTTTAGCAAGCAAACTTTACTAAATACAACTAAGCTTGCATTTTTGCCCAATAGATATTGGATCTCTGCGTTCAAAACTGTGGATCACGCTTTCACGATGAACTTGGTAAATTCAAGTTCCTCAATGAACTCATTAAAGTCTTATCGCCTAAGGTAAGTAATGTAAGCGAGGCGTGTCTTTAAAAATGACATTCTCGTAGTATCTCGGAGAGTCTACTTCTCCTGCTGTTCGCGATAAGTGCATTATGTTGCTGTTCACGTGGCAGCGAGATCTAGGACAGAAGTACCCGAAAATACGCGAAGCATATCAAATGCTGAGGACCCAAAATATTATCACAGAAGATCCTGTCATTCCAAATGAGGCAGAAACTAATTTAGTAAGTTCTATGCTGTTGTGGATTGCTTCAACGTAAGGAATTCCTGTATCGTGGGTTTTTTTCCGACAGGAGTATCTCCAACGAATGGCTAACAGAACTGATATTTTTAAGAACAGTCGACATAGCGCCGTAAGCCTTAACAGCTTCTCTCTTTTAAAGCATTAGTAATGATGTAAAGGTAGATTCTTTATTCTAGAAACTCCTTCGACTACTCAAAAGCCGCAATCCAGATGACTATCGAGAGGCGAACGCAATCATCAAGAGTATCGTCAGTGAGGTAATGAAGGCGTCCATTGTTGTGTTCCTTATACTCTAGGTGGCGATGGTTGTAGGGTAGACATGCCATTTATCTTAGTATTTTGCTAATCAGGCTTCCCTTTTGCCCCAAGGGGAATTTACTAAAACAGTGATTTCTCCATCAAAGGCCCTAGCATTTGGTCTTAAACCACCACGGGGTCGCCGTATGGAATTAGAAATGGTAGAGACTCAACCGTTTACTCTACAGTTCAATCTAGTTGTGTTGTTGAATACGTGGTTGTTGACTTAAAGAGTCTGACTGAACTGCTAAAAAGACGAATGTCTGAGTGGTTAAATAAGTAAAGCGAGTAGTGGGGGTGGTACACGCACAGGAGTGTATGAGTAGACGGTTCCTCATGACTGACGAGCTCTCCGTGAAAAGGAGGCAGTGAGTTGGAGAATGCCTCGACAGGGCCTTTGGACCTTAGCAGAAAATACCTAAGTCGCCATTTCTGGTGGGACAAGCTTCGTTGCGTAGGGCGGTAATCCTGTGAGCGATTCTCCATCGTAGGTTTCACAAGCCCTCGAGTTGGACTTTCTTTGAGCGCACTTTCCCCTACCACTCGTCTGCACTTCCTCTAAAGCACTTTTCTTTAACATATTATCCAATGTATCCAAACTTGCTAGCTCCTTGTTGATTGGCCAATCACAAAAAAGAACGCAGGACACGAATCCAAGGACAGTTAGAGAGACATGCTGAATGCGAACTCAACGGCCGTATCTTTCATTCACGTCCCTGAAAATTGCTCGTCATCATGTTTCATTAGTTCTAACTGTAGAATAGAAGTCTATGTCACCTCTAGTTTCAATGTTATGGTAGTTTCTCGAACAGTTCGGTTCGTTGCTTCACAACAATAGTTGCACGCAGCACCCACAATTCCCTTATTTCATTTCCTCTTCGTCCCTGTCCTTTTCAATTTGTTATCCTCAGTTTGGCGATCGAACCTCGTTTTGAGTCGATGCGGCCCTAACAAACCGCACTCTGTCTTGTTTTGGTTATCAACTAGTATTGAGAATAATGTGGATTATCAGTCAAACGACCGGTTCCGTAACAGACATGGGTAGGGTTTAATGAACTCAAAAGTGTCTTCAGCACGACTAGGCAGTAGTCCAAACTGCCACGCTTCGTGCACACTTCGTATCTCAGTTGACAGTGCATACTAGGCCGGCAGGATTTGCATATTTGTTGTTCTGAGCACCAGGAAGCACAGCATGCTGAGAGCACTTGTATGGGCAAATATTTAAGCTGCGTTCTGATTGGCACTCTTAAACTCCGATTTGCGCATATGCCTTTCTTTAAGGAGGACGCCCGTGTTGAGAAGCGATCCAAACGAGCCCTCGAACTGGAGACCCTACGCAGCAACGCCGATCTGTTGGAGGAGATGTTGAAGTGCCTGGGGCCTGGCGAGCCGTCGCCCTCAGACGCTGATGTCATGGAGGTACGTGCAGTTCCGCGGAACCCACATGCATGCCACACCGCAGAACGCTCGTACAGCAGACGCAAAAATAAGGCATTTCGCTCAGTCGTCGCACTGTTGACACAGCCGTGTCTCTTTTCGGGAGCTCTCGGTTGCACGCAGAAACCTTCGAGTTGCGGACTTTGAGCGCACGCCTCATGCCTGCCACGAAGCACGTTGAATTTTGCCTTGTAGCTTTCGTTGCGCAACCATAGCTGCTCATTGACTTAAAAGGCGTAGCAGTCGGTTTGGTTGAAGTTACGAAGGGGTTGAAGTTGTGCTAGGCGATGAATTATTCTTTTTTCGACTTCTGCTGCGGTACAAGTGCATTCTTGATTTCGCCTGGTTAACCGTTTCATTGTCTTCAGGAAATCGTCGCTAACATCAAGCGATCTCGTCCCATCATCTTTGAATTGGCACTGACAGATGAAGACCGCGAGGAAGGGTTCTTGGGCAAGTTTTCGTCTTTGGTGCGATTCGTGTAGGCACTCGTGCACTCGCACACACCTCATCACTCTTCAAACCCACACCTGTTTTTCCAGGTGCTTTTGTCAATCGTGTTTACTCCAGGTGTGCAATTCACGATTCCTGCAAGTGATATTTAATTTGTAAATGGATGAAGCACACTAGCGGCACTTATTGGTGTTAGATAGAAGCTCTGTAATGCGTAATCGGTAGATCTGGCACTTGAATTGCAGCCGACGTGATTGACTCGTGCAGCAGAGCATCCACAGTGTTGGAGCGTTACGAGGTGATCGTCCTCCACCAGCCTCCCTCCACCGTCAGTGATCCTGCAGCTCCGCCGCCTCCTCCGCCTCCACCACCTCAGGAGAGCCAGCCACCGGACCTGCTGCAGCTGGTGCCCGAGGCGCACCAGGATCTGCTCACGCATGACCTCCTCATGCTCGGCATCAGCGATGCTGAGGCACCGGCGGTGCCGGAGGTGGCCTCAGATCCTCCGCCGCCACCGCTGCTGCAGTCCTACTCCTCGTCGAATGCCGATCTCCTAAGCGACCTGCTGTGTGTGGCGTCTCCTGCGTCGCCAAGTGTAACTTCAGGTCCATTTTCACGTATTCTTGGTGTTTGTGGGTAGGAAGAGGCGATTTGTTGAATGCAGCCCCTTTGTGGAGCGTTTTTATTCCAACATCCCCCCCCCTCTTAACGTTATGCACACTGCAACGAATCTGCAATGCGACTGCGCGTGGTTGCGTGTTTGGAAGCCATAGGCTCCTAACCCTCTGCTGGTCGTTGCCGCGTCACGCTAGCCTGAACGAAGTTGCCAAACGTTGTCTAAATTGTTGCGGCCTGCTCCGAATTTCGTACAGTGTTACTGCAAAATGTTGAATGGTTGCTGTAAATCCACGCTTTGATTGGTTTCGCATCTCATTACGTTTTAACATCCAGATTTGTGTGTTTGGTGTACTTATGACAGAAGCATTATCGGTTTGACACCGCCACCAGAGAACAGTAATCAATACGTTTATTTCGCCCGCTTGCGTGTCTGGTCTTTTAAGCAAGAAGTGCCTCTTTGGGAGATTTGAATGATCTTAAATTGACCCCGCTCCTATCGGCCTCGATGAAGGTCATGGCTGGCGCTTTTTGTGTGTTCCTCTAACTCTTTTAGCCAGTTTTGGCAAGACTAAATTGAATAACTAACCAGTTGCAAATTTAGCTCAACCACAAGGCATAAATTTTGGCTAATGTCGTAGCCCTTCGGCTCTGTTTTGCGTGTCAACGTTTATGAGGCTTTCGTGCAACCGAACGCGCTCGCATCGGTGTGTGCCTTTCTCATTCAAATCTGCCCCCCCCCCCACCGTCCCTCCACTGCTTTCTTCCACAAGTTTGTCGTTTGTTTTGTCGAATTTACGCTTGAGACTGTATTTCGTGCTTTGATCACTGCAGTCATTCCCGCGACTACTACTGAATCGGTAAAGATCCCAACTGAACCGCCGCAGCCAAGGTCTTCACCGCTCATCAATACCACCACGACGCCGGCGTTGGCAACTCCCGGCGGGGCCTTGCGGCAGCCCGCTTCAACTTCGTCCGGCTTGGATGATCTCGACGCTGTAAGCCAGGAGTTGCTTGGTTTGATGACGTAAGTTGAAATAAAAGCTCTACTTTTGCGCTGTTTGTAGACACGTGTTATTTAACTAGCATTTCTCACCATTTGACGAACTGTCCGGGTTAACAGGGGTTCGAATTACAAGGTATTATATATTTCTTCTTTTTTGTTAATTAATTTTGTATTAAGTCGTGTTTTTACTGTTCCAACGTGGGTCATTCTTTAGGAGCCACGTCAGGGTCAATTTTGACTACCAAAATGACGACTGGAGTTCAAGTTGTGCGCTAACTTCCCAATCACGTCTTGCCTCGGTCTATTATTTTCTGTGCTAGCATTTGGGTGCAGCATTAATCTAACTTCAGTGTTTAACGCAATCCTGTGCATCAGCGGTGGTTTTTGAAGCTGTTTTTTTTTCATTTTCAAACGCTACTTTTCCGGGTTGCAGTAAAACCTGGGCTTAACGTTTTATATATAATTTGATCCCGAGAACGTGATAAGGACTTTTTAGAGCCCTTGTCCACTCACTTCAGCAGTATCGATAAGACCTAATTGCGTCAGTGATGGTTTAGAAACTGCGCGAAGCCGTCATGCATCGGTTCAGTCTATTTTAATGACTTACGTCATCATCCCTAATGATGACAATTTTGCCTCTAGTTCCTTACGGACTGACTGCATGAGGGTGTGTGTGTGTGTTTGCTTTCTGGGATTCGTAAGGCGTTTGAGTCTGCTACGATGCGTCGTAAACTGCCTGTCCCCCTAAACTAAAGTGTGCGATGCCGATTTTTAACCTCCAGACAATCAGGTAGCGGTGGGCCGCGTTCTGCGTCCCTCAATTCTCTCTTACGAGACCAATCGCCACGCAAGCCCGATCCTCTTCCGCCGCCAACGCCGCCGGCAACCAACAGTGCCCCTCCTGCCCTCACCTCCCTGCCTGACCTCCCTCTGTCCGCCATAAAGCCGCACCCGCGGCACACCCAACCCCTCTGTGTGTTCCCTTCGCCCACGGACGAGGAGGCCTCAAGTCAACCCGAGGTGGTTCTGCACTTCACCGCCAACCGGCCTGGTCCCTCCGTGTCCGTCTTCGTTGCCGTCATCACCAACCGCAGTGCTCTCCCGCTCACCGAATTGCTTCTCCGATTCGGTGTTGAAAAGGTAATGCAACGTTTGAATGTTAGTCCTGATTTTCCCCCTTGTTTTACTATACTGGTTTCGCCGGAACACTATTCAAATCACCCACTAGCAGTAAACCTGCATAACAAAGGTTTAACGCCCCGGTTTGTCATTGTTGTTAACCAGAACTGCTAACGGGGAATACTCTGAAAGGAGCTTCTTTTATCTTCGTTAGCCGTTGAAGTTGCGCCAGTTGCCCGCCTCAACGACTAGTCTTCCGGCGTTTTGTCCATTTCTCCCGCCGAGTCCGGCCCAGCAGATTATCTACATTCAACGACCACTGGATGCCGAGGTGGGGTGTTTTACCTGGTCTATTTAAGGTGGTACGCCTGTTGTTGGGGTGCTTCATTTGGCACTTTTCTTGCGCTTTAGATCGCGACAGCTAAGGTGAAATTCCAAATCGCCTATACCTTGGACGATGAAAACGTTCTAGAATCAGGTGTGGTGACAGTTCCACTTGACTAAGAACTGCACACTTGTGCCGTGATTAGCTTCTTCCTGCGGTGATTGCTTGCTTTTGTTGTTTTGCGTACACTATTCTTTCGGTGGAGATAAAAATAAATTATTTGCAATAAAATTTTGTTCTCTCCATTGCCTGATGGAAGTTATGTGCGACGGATGTCATTCTCTGATAAATGTGCTTCAGTTGGTGTTCTGTAATAAGATGGGTGACGGGAAGTAGAAATGCTCATTTGCAACCACTAGCACACCTAATCGCACGGATTTGATCAAAATACGTGTCCTATGTGCGCAATGGTCGAAAAAGCTCAACTTGTGTTTCTTAAAAAACCGTAACTTCAATAGCGTCGACCAGGAGTCAGGTATCTGGCATCATGTTACTCCACTTAGTAATGCTGTCAAAGGATGATATGTGCCACGACTTCCGAGCTAACCCCAAAACCAATCGGACGCTTTACTCTTTAAATGAGTTAACGCGTTCTGCAGCGGCTGCTGATAAGCATAATTGGCATTGATGCTCTGAAACCTAAAAAGAGTAGTAGATGGGCAATCGTCTAATGTGCACTGAAGCTTTCATACGAAGAGCTGTCTTTGCCATACAGATGACGAATCAAATACCTGAACTAAATATTAACACTTGTAAATTATTTAGGGACGTGAGATCAGTTCGCTAATCATGCAAAAGACACCCGAAGTTCTTTTCCGTTGTATTATACCATGAAATTAGAGACTCCCAGTGTCTAGTTGTATATTCTAAGCATGGATACAGGCCTACAGTGATCGGACTTGACTGACTGGCACCACTAAATATTTAATATGCTTAGATATGTTATTCAGCCTGGTAAACAACTTCTGAAATAGAAAAAACTATGAAGAAAGTCTAACAAGACCTTTTTAGGCAAAGAGTTTTAATAAAACACAGTTAATTGTTTTTACTGCCAACTTGATCTCCCATGAAGGACTTAATGATTACATCCACTGTCGACGATAATGTCTAGAACTTTATTTGCGGACAAGGCTAGCATAATTAGAGTTTTTGCTATGTTCTGTAGATTCCGTTAACATTTAGGATTCCTCCTAAACATTGATTTTCGTTATTCTAATTGAAATGTAATGTAAGTACACTTTATTTATTAATGAAGTTATTTAGGGAGAATCGGAAAGATTCGGGTTTTAACATGTTTAAATAAATTATACTGTAAAAATGTCAAATTCTTGGATCTAATCAGTGAGACTTAATGAATGAAAAACTAATTTGCACAATTACTCTAATAGTCTCCTAAAAAATTCATCTGCACCTTCATTACACTCCTTTGAGTTTATAAACAACATTTCGAAAAAATCGGGATGTTTACACACTTTATTGGCCTTTCATTACCCTCACATGTTAAAAGACAAAACATTTGCAGAAAAAACCAATAGCTTGACCATTGACTTTATTTCACACATTTCATTTCCTTAAATGAACGTTGTATTTTATCTCCATCAACCCAAATTCAATGCCAGTGACTAAATGCTGACATATAGAATAGACTATTTCATTACCTGAAATTTCTTGAACGCTACAGAGCAAATAGTAAAATATGTTTCCTGTTTTTTTTGGAATTGAAGGACCGTTAATCTCTTAATCAAGTTGCATTACTTCATTAACTACCCACTATTTTGATTAGCTTATATTTTCTTGTTGTGTAGCCCCATATGTGACGCCATCTAGCCCACGGGTCTATTGACCGCTCCTTTTCTAAATGGCCAGCAGTAAAGCTGAAGCTGAAGAACTGATAAGGAAAGCTGAAAAATGGTTAGAAACTCAAAAATGCTTTATTCGTGTAGCTTAAAAACTTCGCTATTAAAATGGTCGCCAGATATTGATAGCGCCATTGGGTTTTACAGCAAGGCTGCTCTGCTTTATAGAAATTCAAAGATGCCAAAGGAGTCTGCGGCCATCTACATGCTGGTAACTTAGCAATTTACCTAAACCCCAAGATTGGTGATCTGTATGCTAAGAATGGCTCATTCTTCCATTGCGCAAAGTCATACGATACAGCGTCACTGTTGTTCCGCGACTCCGGAGATTTCGACAAAGTAGTGGAATGCGTGCAGACAGCTGGAAAACTTCTGAGGCAAAATGGAGTTCCTGATTCTGCTGAGTCGGTTTATGCCAGGGGTGCAAAGTAGGTACTGCGTTCGCAAACAATTTTCTTTATTTCATCTCTTCAATTTCTTTCACTACACGTTTTTAGCGTGATTGGTAACTTCATGGCAAAGGCTGACATGATATTTCTCCACCTAATTTGGCGGTACCAGCCAATGACTGTCACTAAACTGGTAATGGGTTGGAAATAATTATTATGGATGTAATGTGCTTTCACCTTAACCGGGTGCCAACGTTTGTCAGTGTCACTATAAGTTGTGTTTGATTTTTGATTTTCTAAAATGTCTGAAATCTAGTACTGGGAAAATTTGTAGCTCCGGACAAACATTTCTGTTTTCCTTTAGGTCACTAGAAGGCAAATTACCTGAACAGTCGGCAAAGTTTTACGAAAATGCAGCAGAAACATCGGAGGTAATGTTTTTAGGTATTATATTGTAAATCTGAAATTTGCCCTAATTATCTAGAGTTTAGTCCCGAGCGCATCATGATTTCTCGTTTGTGAAGGTGCCTTTCTTTGAATCTTATGCAAGTGGTAGATTTTGTACATCGGTTCCTCAGGAATATGGATTAGATTGTTTGTTGGTTTATAAAGATTCTACTGTCATATTAAATGCAGTTGCATAAAAGTTACAGCCTTTTTTCGTGTTCACCATACATTTAGCCTAACCTTATTTAATTAGTCTTCTTAAATAGCTCGCTAGTAGTGTTCGTACTCTGCACGTTTTTAAGTCTTGCTTTGTTGTTTTAGTTGGAGGAGAAGTATTTACAGGCTGCAGATTTCGCTGGTCAAGCAGCGCGCGTGTGGACAAGCGTAAAGCGGTTCGATGAGGCCGACCGCCTTCTGCGCTATCAAATGACTCTCAGCTTGCAAGGTGCGACCGGCGAAAATGTCCAACTCGCCTACCAGGTTTGCGGAAAGGCCGTTGTCGCCTTGGTGGTCATAAAACTCTACCTAGAGGATTCCGTTGCTGCTGGGAAGGTGTACGCTGAGGCTCTAGAGTAAGTCGTGTATTATTTTATCCTAGCGGTCTGTGTTTAATTAAAGACGCTTATGATAGTCAAGATTCGGTTCTTCGTACCGGGTCCATTTCGATAGTACGCCCATGCATTGTGTGTGACCGTGGCATCCAGCTAATGCCGTGCCTTATGAGTTGTCTGTTGCTCATTCTATGCCAGAAAATATCACTTCGGTGAGACTGACGACTCGTCTGCGGTAGCCGGCCTCCTTCAAGCCTACGATTCCTTCAATTCGGCTGCATCTGCCGAATTGGTCCGCTTGCCAACTTTCCGAAATCTCGAAAATGAGGTAAATTATTCCATTTTACATATCTGTTCACTTCTTTTCACATTTTTAACTGGGACTCCTGATGCTGATGGCACATCTCCACTTTCTTCCTCATCAAATTCTTCCGTAAATAACCTATTATGTTCTAGCTTTGAGAGCACTTTCGGCAGGTTTGCCTCCACGCGCATTTATCAGCTCTAGTTATGCTTTGACATGCTAACACAAAACAGTGGTGCAACTAATGACTATTTTGGCTAACTGGTGTTGCTCGAATTTCCAGTCTCGACAAGAATCTGTTTATCCCATTTCGTAGGTGGTATGATTGTGGCAGGGACTTTAATTTGAGTGCACACTGGATAATTCTACAAGACAGATTTATCTGTTTTTTTACCGTTTGGCATTTGAGGTTGCATTCTCTTGCCATGCGTCATCTGCGTTTGTTCCTATTCTGAATTAGTGTTTGTAAAACACGCATACTTAGAAGCTCGGAGTCCCACGAACTTACTTGTAACTTAATGGAATCGAATTTGGAAACATTGGGGTAGGTGCAAAGGTAACTCGCTTCTGAGACTGATGCTCATCTTGACGCTCTGTTATTACATCTGCGGTTATCCGTTTATGACAAGAAGGAACCCTGCTAGTGCTACTGATAGCCATGTCACTCGTCACGAGAACGGAACGTCATCGCTAACGCCAGTTTGACAGATTTAGACCTCATGAGAGAGGGAGAAGTCGAAGTCGATAAAGATTCGTCTTTTTAGCCACCAGTCAATATAAATCAAACGGACATGGTCGTTTCGTCGATGAGTGCACGAGTTTTATAGAGCAAAGTTCTGAGCATGACATACAAAATCGAAGCGCACCACAAACATCCAGATTGTTCCAGCATCTGTCTCTTCTAAGAAAATTAGTAACGTTTGCTCCACGGGTTAATCTGAAGCGGTTCCCGACAACTGCGTCTGCGTTTGCTGTGTCGCAATTGATTTCGACTTTGCCTGGTATCGGATTTGCTGCGCTTTGGCGTTTTACGGGGCATCTGGCAGAGCGTCTCTTTGTGGCCCACTGCTTTGCATTTCTTGCACTTGTGATTCTTAAAAGGACACAACCTTACGAAATGCCGATCCCCGCACTTCCAACACGCCGGAGGGGGAGACTTCCTTGATTTCCTTAGACGCCTCGGGTCTGTGGGCTTCTCGTGAGACTGCGATGGACCTGGGGTTGGCGAGGCGGATTTAGGGGGACTAGAGGTAGTTTCAGCGGCCTGAGCTGCCTGAACTTCGGACCCACCTTGATCCACAGGTTGAACTAACGCGGCATCTTCCTGCAACTGAACCAATTCTGGGTAGAGGCCTGCGATTTCGCTAAGCGTTACCGAGGGTTTTAGCTCGATAACTCTGAGCAGCTGTTCGCGAATGTTTGCCAAACTAGGCGCTTGTAGACTGTTGATGAGAATCAGGGTTTTGATTTCGTCAGACGTCAAGAAGACCCAGCCGGATTTTTCGCATTCACGTTCCACGACTGCCAGGTGACTTATGAAGTCGTCGTGTTCGTTCATCACCAGTTTAAGACACCTGCGCCGTACAGTGAACAAGGCAGATTGCCTCCCGAATAGCTGCGTGAGAGTTTTAACGGTTTCTTCAAAGGATCGATCTTGTGGACTCATTGGAAAAATCACAGTGCCATATTTGCTTGCCTCCACGGATCCAAGTTTACTCAACAGAAGCATTACTTTCCAATTTGCTTCCGCCGACTCACACGTGATCTCGAAAAGATCCTTGTAGCATTTGAACCACGTTTCAAACGTTATGCCCTTATCTGGATCGAAGGTGAAGACGTCTATGCATTTTGCAATATCATCAACCGTCGGTCCACTGTTGGACTCAGACGATGGAGCCCGACGACGCTCGCGTATCCTCTTTGCCTCTGCCATTAGTTGATCCAGATTCTCTCCATCCATGTCTCATCCGTGTGCCACCAATGTCTACAGCCACTCGCTCCGACTGACAACTGAGAAAGTCGAGACCGGAGACTGTAAGAGCTCGTCATTTATTTAACCACCGATGAACCGAAATCAGAAGGCCAAGAAAGTCAGAACTGTTCGCTCATGGCTTATCATAACAGTGCCGAACCGTTCTCATAAGGTCTCATGTCAAGCCGACTTGGCAAAATTACTTTTAAAAACTACTCTAATGTTGTCAGCAGTGTCAGTCGTCTTTTTTGTGACTAGTAGGGTTATCTCGTTAGCCATTGTGCTCTAAACTAAGCTACGAACTACGGACGCGCCGTTGTCCATGTGGCGTCGTCAGGGGTTAATTGCGATTCCACCATCCAAAGGAAATCCGACACAACTAGGCTGTGACGTGACGATTTACGGGGAGTCGCGAGTCCGTCAGCAAGTGTGCACGCTTGCATTGTCAAGCAAAGTCGTTACGGGCCTCTACTTGACGCAGCAGTTTGTACACTATTAAAAGCAACATACTTGGGCAATTTTAACTATTGTTAAGCTTTTGAATGCTGCAAATGGTCCAACACGACCGGGGTTTTGGTAATGCTGAGGAAATTGTCAAGTTTTTCGTTTCTAGTTTGCTCGCTTGGCGCGATCCATAAAGTTTCCCGACAACCTTGACGATCAAGGAGACGCTGACAAGTCCTGCGCCAGTGCCGTTGGTGAAAAGGACCAAGAAGAAGAGGAGGACATCTGTTGAAGCTGACGGCTCCCTTGTTGTTTTTGTTGTCGTGGTCTAAAATCGTGACCTGTTTTCATTCCTTTGCTTTCATAACCTGACCTTATCTATGACTCTACGGTTTTTGTGTGCCATCTTCTGATTTCGGAAAAGTAAAAATCGTGTATTTGTGTTTCTTTTCTTACGACATTCAGGATCTCGTTCGGTGAATAATCGAACTAGCCGAAGTCACAGACTTGGTGCTAGTGAATGCAAACCTGGTTGTCTACTGCAGCGTGACTGTGCAGTTTAGAAACATTTTATTTTCTTGGTCTGTCTTGTGCTCGAACGTATCTTCTTGTAATTGAAACTTGATCTTGAAATGCATCTTGATTTACCTCTGCATGGGAACTTCGTGAGGAAGTACAAGCCACTTATTTGTTGTCGGTGGAGATGATGTCTGCTTCCCAGCATAATTTTGGTGGTACGCGAAAAAAAAGGTTGTTTTGTTGTGACTGATTGTTTTCCAACTATTAATGGCTGCGTGGGAGCCTTAAAATCCGTTTAACAAGGATCACGGAGTTGGATTTCGACATGGTATTTTTTCGGTTCAGTTCTTCAACGGTCGAATAATTCACACTTACTAATCAAGAGTAAAGTTCTACTTAGATATCGACTTTCGCATTGTTGTTTAGTGCTTACATGGCCAATGGACACGACCGTTTATTAACGTTAACCGGAAGAACACACGTGGACAACAATCAACCGCTAATAGTAACCAATAGAAATAGGGATGAGTCATTGAAATCAGTACTCCCGTCGGCAAGCTTCACTCACGCGTAATTGTTGACAATCCAATGAAGAATCCCGAATTGATTATTTGCGCATTGACAAAATAATATAGAAAATGCGAGGTTCTAAAGGAGGTACATCGGTTGGAACCTGTGAGATGAACACTTAACTTGTCAACACGTTAGTGCTCAAAATCCTAATTAATTCAACAAGATAATAATCTAACTTAGGTGTTCGACAAGTTTATTTATTGGAGTGACTATCTTGGGTGGAATATCACATTTAGTAAGAGTAGAGCTCAATTACTTGAGCAGTGCCTTGTGGGTGTGGGTATTTGGCGTTACCTCCAGCTTTCGATTATCTTTGCAAACTCCGTGATTTCGGGAATGAGTCTCGGAATTTGGTAATTTTGTCATGTCGTACAGTGTGCGCGTTGAACTCAACATTAAAAGTCCATGGAAGTGCCTTTCAATTGGACTTAAACAATCGAAGTCAATGCTATAAGTTTGTTTCTGAAACCTTTGATGGTGTATCAGCCGTCAGCACGAATCTGTGCCATTGTTCATTCACGCAGATTATGGGCATATTGCGATAACTCAGATACTTTATAGCTAACTACATCTGTAATTACTATTCGTTGCGTAAAGTACTACGTGGCGTTCCATTTTGTTAATTAAAATGCGGAAGCAACTAACACTAAAAATTATTTTTACAAGACCCCAGATTAGACTGTGGCTGGCAAAACATGTTTAGTTATTCAAAATTTATGAATATTTGAAAAAAGGTGAGTTGCGTGTCCTTTCCGGTGCCTAGAAGGCCCACCACCGCCTCAAAACAATTATAAGCTCATTGTATGTAAAAACCAATGATTAAAAATATCATAATTATAATATTTATGCATTCAAACTTTTAAAAGCACACAGATTAAGTTGTATCTTGTGTCCGTAACGTATTATGGCACATGCCATGGTACATTTGTAGTGTTGAGGTCTCACGTGACGTTCCCGCAAGACGGTACTGCTTAAAATCTAATTTAAGTGGACGCAGATACGTATTCACAACAAATGGGAATTACTAATGCGACTGAAAGTAAACTTGTAATAGTATTTATGTACGAATTTGTGGGAATTCTTTTGCAAATAATTAAATTGATTAAGACACGGTCATAAACTACCAGCAGCAAAGCGTCATTAATTAACTATTCGCAGACAAAAATTTCAACGAATGACTGCGCATTTGTCATTCTCTGAATTTCATCTAGATAGTCAGCGCAGCCAACTTGATATTTCGATGCTTAATGTATGATTTGCTTCAAAAGGTATGAATAACAAATATTCTCATCAAGAAAAAAAGGGGTTTTCATAACTCAATTAAAATTCTGGAAACTTGGATTTTTTTATGATAAAATTCGCTTCGTATCCATCCGAAATCCATTTCATTCAGCTTGAAATTTTTGTCGAAGGCTTGTCACCGATCAAAATATCATCAATTTACCATAACCTAAACTGCAGCATTTATATTTTTACTTTGGATTTATTCATTCGTTAAATCCTGAATCTCTCTGAACGCAACTTCCAATTTGCTTACTACATAAGCTGATCCCACACAGTCCTAACATGGTGAGCAATTTCTCCTTCTAATATGATTACTTAAGCAGTTAAACGTTCCGCATCGTCTGTACACTTCAAGGAATCGGCAAACAAAAAATTGATTGATGTTCTTCTGACATTTTAGTAATAAGGAGTTTTCGGGAACTCTTGCTATCCCCAATTAGATGTTACGTTTATGCAAAGATGACACAAATTTGCAGAATGATTTTCTGGATTCTGTCAAATGCTGTAAAGATTTGTTCGTGAAAACTTAGTGTCAATAAGAAAATACAAAATTTATAATGTATAAGTCTCCCTAAACATTATCTTTAATAAAAATATAAAGCCATCTAATATCCGAGGACATTATGTTATGCGTATGTCTACTGCAATGAAAAGCCCGTGGTGGAAAATATAGGAAATTTTCAATAAAAAACGATTGTTTGGGGTTGTAAATTACCGGACACGTTGCAGATCTCTTTTTGCGAAAGTATGGTTCTCGAATCTTAGACAAAGCCTCCTAATATCTGTGAGTTACTCGAATGCATGATTATTGAACAGTATATAATTCGACTAAATTCAGTTAATAACATGTACGGATTACCGATGAACCTTCGCAAAAAACCAAACTTAACTACACAATTGTAGCATGATTAAATTTTTTAATGCCATTAAAATGGTTGTATCTGATTCTCGTAGTTAAACCTGATCTACTCAAGCGCGCCGTAGTTAAGTCGCGTACCTGTTTTCGGTTGGTGTCACTCTTATTCGGATGTCTTCTTCAGACGCTGGTTTTCAGTCGTCGCAAAAAAGTTGCAAAAGTAGTAGTACATCTTACGTTGAAAACCGTTACCAGCGCTACCGTGATTGGCAATCTCCCAGTTCTCAGTCCTGGAATTATGCTCTGGATGTTTGGAATCAGAGTTCGAAGAGTGATATCGGCAAGGATCTTCGTATTGAAAGTAGTAATCTCTTTCCAGGCATAATATCTAAAGGCTCGCTAAGAGAAATAGATCCCAATGAACTCAAGTAATTACCTGTAACGAAACTTTCCTATCGTTTGCATTAGGGAAAAACTTACTCAAGTTTTGCATTCTCTTACTTCATTAAAGAATTTCGTAAGTTATACTTAAAGGTCTGATTAAATTTAGATTTTGCCTGGTGGAAATGGCCAAGCCTCAAAAGGTAATTTAATTCTGCTTTTGAATATATTGCTTATGAACAGATTTATTGCAATAAGCAGTCGTTAATTTAGAAGACCCTGCTAGTCTGAAGATAAAGCTCTTAGCGTCAGTGTTAGTGACTGCTGGTTTTGCATCGTTGCGCATGCAGAAAAAAAGGATAAGGACTAAACCTATGTACAGACTTGGGATGGTGTTATTGCTAGACAAACTAAATACTATTTAGCTTTCCAACCTCCACTCACCGTATTGTTAAGCCTTTCTAATTTGATTGAAAAAGATCGAAATGTATAAACTACATCGATCATTTTTGAGGGGTTACAATCTGAGCGCTTTACCTACGTGTCATCATTGAAGTTTCATTTGCGTGCTTCACTTTTGTTATGTTTACACAAAATAGCTTTCAGCTTAAGTATGATCTCCAATTTGCTTTAAATAAAATACAGCTTATAGTTTTTTTGTTCAAATGGCCCATCATTATTTTGAGGTGAAAAGCCCTTTACTTAAAATTAGATGATATATTATTTATAATTTCCCTATTTACTTTTTTTGATGTTTCTTTCAATACATGAATTTAAGGGGACCTAAATCAGAGCCTTTCAGGACTTGCTGTCGCATCAGAACAGCTCTTAGACGCAGCTAGTTGCCTACAGAACCAGCTTTTGGGGAATAGAAAAGAGGCCGATAATACCCTTGGATGCTCGCCAAGCTTTCTTATTGAAGACACTGAACAATTTGACGTATGTAAACTCTGGATTTTTGTACCCATAGCGACCAAACCTATTCAACCAATATTCAGGCCATTTTGACCTCATTCTGTTTCTATTAATGACTGATCTGAAATATTTAGTGTTTGCTATCAATATGTTGATGTATAAACCTGCCATCATTCCTCTTTATGGATTATGCTCTATACTGTTTAAATGCATTCATTGCATATGCCTCTTTTAACTTAAATTAAAAAACATTAGAAAAAGTCTAGATCTTACGTGTGGAGGCTTCAAGGCTATTCACCGGCTTTTAATTTTGCTCACAATAAGTTTATACAGTCAATAATTTTGACAAATTTGTCGAGTTATCCTTTTTTCTTGTTATGATGACTTTGTGTTATAGTACTGATGCCTAAAAGCTGTTGTTTTTCTAAATCTCAAATTCCCTTGTAACAAGTTTTGTTTTTTTTTCTATTGCCAAAAATGATATCAGGATGCTACCACGAGAAAGCCAGTAACATCAGCAGATACTTTGTTAGAAGCTCTCAAATCCATTGATGAAGAGCTTCGAAAACTCCCTGAAGTCATCGAAGCGTACGTTCCTCTAGCTTTATCCTTTTGTGCATTAAAGGAGAGATCTAAGACAAGGATGAAACCCCTATTGTGAAGCGCTCACTTGGTAGTCTTAATGTGTACACATCAAGGTTTTTGTTTGTTTTATAGCAAATGCTTTTAAGTTCTACAGTTCCTCTAAAAAAGTTTCATTAGTTTATTTATGTAGGCATCTTGCATCATAGTGATAATTTACTGTAGCCTTTAACAGGTAAAACTTGAAAACGCCTTAAAGTCATTTCAATGACTTAGTAATTTTGACCACGTTTTTCCTCTAGTCATAAAGATCGTGGTTAGCGGATACATCGCCTTCGCACCTAATTTCGCGTTGGCTGGGATATATCTAATATTGCTTGACCGATAATTAAACTCCTTCTTTGACACTTATCTGTTTTGACGACACCTAGCCGCATAATATCAGTCCCTTTGGCCACATGTGTAGCAACCTTGGGCTGAAAATGCATGCTTTCTGGCTACCCTCAAAATGTTATCAAACGCACCACTGCACTCACAAGTCGGTATACAAAGACTGCAAATTTAGGCATGAATGTAGTACGAAATTTGCATTTTTTTAGCCAATTTCTTGGTCAACTCTTTGAGGTGTATATTCCTACTGGTTGCATGCAAGAAAACACTGCTGTTGTAGTATTTCCCACAAAAATACCTCAGCGTACTCTTGGCTCTCCACCTTGGTGTGAGAAACTTGTGTGACCCGGATTGGCCGATTATGAAGTATTTTTTGTTGGTTAAACGTCCAACACGATCATATCTCAAGCCACTTTTTCATGTCAGCATTTTGATATTCAGAAAACGCTCCTAACTCGACACAGCTGAGCACTTTTGACGTCGATTAGGCTCAGAATACTTCCTCTTTTCTATTGCATATTATGACAGGTTCCCCGTGTAGTGCTCTCACAATCCTAGCTAAATAATGTAGACAATTTTCGGAACTGGACAAATGCATCGACGTTAAAATGGTCGTCTACTAGCAAGACAAGAGCAGTGCAAGCGACACGCTTATGGTAAAAGTAGTGTGGGTACTTTCGAATCCCTCGTCAAAGACTTGTTTTCTCCGTTATAATTGACTCAGTGGGTTTACTAGTTGTTCTGTTAGTTCCCTCCTGCGACGGTACTACTTTAAATTAACTGTCAGATTACTTTGTTCTCCATGACAATGCAGTCGGAATCATCAGCGACTTGCCTCGTTTGCACATTTAGATCGAGGCGAGAATTCGAAGAAGAGCTCACCCGCCATTACGAAGAGCAGCTGGAGTCTGTGCTGTCGACCGCCGTGGAAACGTGCCTGTAAGTCGATTAAACGACTGGCCGCTTTACAACTACGTGCCTCTTTTTCCGTGTTTAGGTCCATCTCCAAGGAGAAGATTGATCAACTTGTCTCGTTTGTTACTGATGGCACGCCAATACCGTGAAACGAAATTCAAACTGTCTTTTTTACCAACAATTTGCTTATCAGCCTTGTTTAAATCTTTCAAGGAATAAAACATTGCGTGGCCTTCTCACGGGTTTGTTAGTTGTTCGGTGCATTTTTTTTACCTCGCGCAGTAAAAAGGTGCCGCTGACTCGAACACCCTTTGTCACCATTCATCATGAGCTGTTGCTCGTGCACACGTACAGTGCTCTAACTTTAAATGACTTTTATTAGCTGATTCGGCTGGACCCAATAATGCTGAAGTCCGCGATTCGGTAGTTCCAACCTTCATCAAAATTGCAATAATGATCCGAGTTGGGCTGCCATCTGATTTGTTTGGCTGGAATTGATTGTTGCATTCAATGAAAACAAAAAGCCTGGCATTAAAGAGCTCCAAGTGTCACAGCAACTTCCACGCGTCACCGAATTGCACAAACCCCTGTCAAACGCTCATTTCCACGGAGAGATTGAGCTCCTGAACCCGCTATCAAACCCTGTTTTGAAGGAACGCGCAGCCAGTTGTGACGACATCTAACCTAGATTCTTCGGACAACTAATCAGAACCTGAAATTGGTGGCGCCGGCGACGACTGGCGGGCGTTGTTGCCGATCATGGGTGAAAATGCACATGAGAAAATAGTAATTCAGGCATAGATATACACGGTTAATAGGCAAAGGGTAATTTGAAGACATCTTGCGGAAGATATGGACACGTTTGTTTTGCTAGCAGTCGTTGGGGAAGTCTACATTTCCCAAGACACGTAAATTAACACTCAAGTTCTGCTCGGTTGATTGCAACGACACTGTCACTTCAATCATTTGTTTACCACAAAAACTCATCGTCCGGTGTTATTTACGCAACCTTATCGGTCTCCGATCGATAAGACGTACGTAAATAGGCACGTATGAGCATCCACTCAACTTCCGCTTTGGCCTCATCTTGTACTCAACCCTTTGTTACAGACAGTAAACCCTTCCGCAGAAGCTCTAGTCTTCTCCGATTATGTGGAGCCTTCGACGTGCCAAACAAAGGGTGCCAACTTTTCTCTCGGGGATTCGCATTCACATATGGGGAAAAACGTGAAAGCAAAGCACGATTGATGTTCCGCTTTAAACCGATTAATAAAACTCCACCAATGGACATATTCCAGGGGATCTACTACTATTAATTGAGTCGCTAGTAATAGTACTTATTCCACCAGCTAAGTCCGTATCGCTGATACCAACAGGCAAGTCCGTTGTAGTAGTTATAAATTAGAGACCTTGGCAAGCAGAACCTGGCATTAACGATTTCGTCGGATAATATTAAAATTGGTTTGTTCAGCGAGGACGAAGCAACCTTCTTCCTGGAAGGTTTACCCAAAGTGCACTTTTTACCTTCCCTACTGTTCATTGGACGGCAAATCTGGCGTCCTTGAACCTATCGATCCAAGCTCTATGCCATGTGGTTGCAAGCTGCGACACCACGTGTCGAGGCCTTACTGAGTTAACCCACGGAGATGCTACCGAGAATTAACAATATAGCCCTTATGAAACACTACTCAGACGGAAGGCAGCACGATGGCTCTCGCGCCAGAGTCACGAAAAAGAGTGTAGCAGGCTTGTACATTTCAAAACAGCCGAAATCGCATGAAAGCACTAAGTTACCACAGTTGTCAAAAACGAAACGCACTGTTCTGCAAGACAAACACGAGACCTCGAACCTGGGGGACAAAAAAGCATTTCAGATTCACAAGCAGAAGCAAGATGCTCCAGCAGAACGTCGACCAAACGTTTCAATTGTCGTTGAGGCCACGGAGCAAAGTCACGCGGAAATTCTTGCAAATGAGGCCCTCAAGCGAAAGAGGGTGGAACAAAACTTAGACCAACTAATCCGCAGTATTAAACCCACATTTTGTCGTGATCAGTCCATTAAACCCCCTGATCAACCGAACAAGGAAGAAAGAAATGTTTCCAACACGGGAACTACGGAACAACAGGACAGTCACAATGCTAGCAGCACGATTCAAAGGCATTCTAGCTTCTTCTCAATGAGATTCGACAAGCCGGGTGATGAAAATGACCGGAATCTTGTCGTGGAAGAGACCGACTATCGACCACCGGCCAGTCCGAGTGGCAAGGAACCAGTGTTGCGTTTCAATGCAGAAACAGAATTTGTGGACCTGCCATTCAGCAAGGACAAAATTCGTGTGCCACCAAAGAAAATCATACAACTAAAGCACCTGCCAACAGATCCGCTAGCAAAGCATCGTAAAGAAAAGCGCGTTTTTGCGGTTGGTTTCAAACTGCCAGTGAAAACAGATAGCGCAGAGACACTAGAGGACTCTCAGCAGATACACCAAGCTGCTCTCATGCGTCTCTGCGAAGCCTACACCAAAAACCTTGGCCCTGAATACCTGCGCACATTGATGAAGGAGAGCGTCCAGTCAATTGACCAATCCGACGACGAAGACGCCACGCCAGTAGAATGGAAAAATGGCGCAACTTTTGTTGAGGATGCTACAGAACGCATTTGGAACTGGGACAAGTCCCTCATTAACAGTAAGCTCCTACTTGACTCCCAGGGACGATCGATCTTCACCAAGGACCTTGTCAAAGGACCCTTCCGAGATTCTCCGGATATCTTCCAGGGTTCCCTTGGTCCGAACGACTGCGACATCAAATCAGACCTGGCAGCGCTGCTCTGCATGGACTCGGATTCCTCCACCGACATCGAATTCGACGAGACGGATTTCGTCAAGGGCCACACCTCCGATTCGATCGTCCGGTTAAACGGGCAAAAGCCCTCCAAGACACACACGAGAAAACCAGAGATGGGTAACTCAGGTCTGCCATCCACGGGCAGCATGGTTTCGGCCATGGATTCAGCGTTGGAGGTGCAACAGGGTCAGTGTGAATCGTAGAAGCACTCTTTTCTTTAATGCAGCATAATTGGCCCCTCTTGTGGTTTACAGAGGAGAACGAGAAGGCGGGCGAGAACGCGAAACCCGGAGATGTTCCCGCCGATGCGTCGGACGAGCCTCAAGCGGCGCCGCCAGCGCCATCGGGAATGGAGGCCGATGCAAAGATGAAAACGACTCTGCAAGCGGCCGCCAATTCAGCGGAGCCCACCAGCACCAGCATCACCAGCATCTCCCTCACAGCTACCACTTCGGGTGAAAGGCGAGTAGTCAGAAGTGCCTCGGCAGTATCTGGAGGCTCCATACTTCGCAGGCGCCGAAAAGGCACCGACACGGCGGCCGCAACTACCGCCAATAAGAAGAAGAAGCCCCGCTTCGCCAAGCGTCAACGGCAAGAACGACGGGCACGAGATCCCATCGAGGTTCCCATTGACGTCCCAGTTGAAAAATTGCAAACTGGCCTCGAAAATGTGGCCATCGACTGGTGCAAGGTGGGTGACTGCATCTAACACAAATGCCGGGAACTCGATAAACCCATCACACCGTTCCGATAGCTACACGGAATAACTAATTTTGTCCCTTTGTTTGATCTGATTAGGTTAACCAAAGTAGCAGCGGGTTTCTTTAATGCGGCATTCAATCACTTTACTGCTCCAGAAATTACGCGGTGTTGGTTAGTCTTCATTACTGGTTTACGGAGAACTTCAAGTTGTTATAGATCGAGCATATCAAAATACCGTTAATCTACTAATAAGGCATTCAAAGGCTCCATGATTTTCAAGAGGGAAGTTGTTGGTGCTCTTTTAGATAATTATGGCGTCGAATGCGCCCAATCCAATGCGATGGTTCGATGCAATGGGCGCCATGGAGCACCAGGAGGCCGACGCTGTTTCGCTCAATTCCGAGGGTCAAGGACGCCAAAGGGAGGCCTACGGTTTGGGAAAACGCTTTGTTTGCGTCGCCGGTGGCCTTGAGGGCTTGGATATGATGCTGAAGCACACAGCAGAGCCCGACCAACCGAAGGCCGAGGTGCTGCTCGACTGCATGGTGAAGAACTACAAATTGCAGATGCCTCTGGCTGTTGGCGACCCAGTTCGTCTGCGAGAACTCTACGAGAACACCATATTGAAAAACCCTATTCTGTACAAAATGGTCCTCCGGCGACGCAACATCCTTCCCGACGACTTGCAGGCCTTCGTTGCGAGGATCATCGAGACTACGGAGTCCTCGGACGCCGTTCTAGCGGCACTCTATCCCTCCAAATCGAACACCGATTTGATTCTCAACGCAGCCAAGGAAATGTTTGCATCGGGCTACCTCGCAGGAGGGCCGCCATGCCCCAAGGGCAAATTGGATGCACCGAAAAAGGCCACGAAAAAAAAAGCCGACTCCGACGAGGCCAGTGAGGGCAGTAGTGAAAAATCTTCAAGCGCAACGGAACCTTCCACACAATCCTCGGAGCAGCCAGGAGGGCCTGGTGAGTCCTCGCGGATTGAGAGCTACGGCAGTGATGTCAACTACGAGAAGGCCTTTGGCATTAGCCTGAGAAACCCCAGCCGAGACATACTGCAAGAGGTTGCTTACCATATTCCCGAATTTGCGTACTACGTCAGACCTCTATTCGAGACTAGATGGGTCAAGATAGCGACGGACAAGGGCATTGAAGAGCTACTGCCTGAACTCTGCACCCTCCGTAATATGCGACAGCGGAGATTAGAATTGATGAAAGTCGGTTTTTGGTTCACAGAGAAGGAAGAAAAAGAGGAGGCCCTGAAAGTGAGACAACTTTCACGAGCACTGGTCACGCGTTTGTGCGACCTTCTTCGAGGACCACTAGCCGCATTATCAGGCTCGGGAGTATGGATGGGCCTTCTAGCTTGCCTCCACGGAATCATGTTCTGGCCGCCAATTGGCGACTTTTTGATCTGTAAACTCAAAACCTGGATCCCGGCACTGCTTCTAACGCTTTACAGTGAATACCCTACCGTGCGAGAGGATGGATGCTGCGTGCTCTCCTTCCTGGTTTGCTGCTATCACATGTTTTCGCGCCTCCAAAAATTCTGCCGCTACCTCCTCATTTCAAACATTACATTTGCCCTCCTCGATGCAATGGAAAGATACCGTGATACGTACGCCTGCTTCCACGGCACCCTGGGCTACCTCCTACATTCGGTGCCATGCAGTGCGGTGGTCGATTGTCTACTCGCTTGGGTTCCAGACATCATAAATCAACCATCGAGTGCACTGGCCAATGACTGGCCCCTGTTTATCTACTACATAGCGCGGCATTGGCCGGATTTCACGATGAACTGGAACCTGCTCTACGAGAGACAAGTGCTCAATTTGCTGGAGAGGGGACTTCGTCAACCGGCCTCTAAGCACAACGCCAGACTGGCAATTGGGTATTTTGTTAGGCGAAAAAGACTCTTAAGCACGGTGGCCACCTGTTGGCGGGAAGGTAAAAAAGACCTGTAACGTGGTGGCTTGTTTATAATAGGCAATGTCGGCAATCCCTACATTTCCCCTACGCTTAAATAGGCACGTAGTGATAAGTGACTTCAATCCCAACAGCAACATTACCAAGATTTAACACACACGAATCTGTAAAGAAGGGAGCTGAGCAAGAACCCCATAAAGGCCACACAGAGGGAGTACAGGAGTTTAGAAAATACAGTGAAACCTTTTTGCGGAATCCCAGCCATCTTATCCGGTCATTTGTCTTGTTCGTTTCTTTAAAAGATGATTTTTGTAGAGTGAGTAGTTTGTATTGCGAAATTTAACGCATTTAAGAAACTGCGAAATTTTACGATTAAAAAAGAACGGATTCTAGTGCGCACTAATGATTACTAAAGGTTAATAGGAAAATAATCGCCAAGTTACGCCCGAGTCCTTGAATAGATCACCAACATTTACGACAGTGCGGGATTAGACTACTAGATCACGGTACTTTGCGTGCTTTTAACGCGAAGGTTGTTAAGGTGCTAAAACAAGATTTTTTATTTTGAAAAAGGATTAGACAGACTCAAAAATGTGCTGTTTAATCGTATTCTCAGTTATATAAATCAAACTTATCAACCAATGTGTTTCTCGACTAAAAACTTAATTAAAGGCGGGTTCTGATGCTATCAAGCTTTGAACAGTGAAAACTAAAGTAAGAGGAATTGCTACAAATGTATAAAAGCATCAGTCCTAGTGTTTAGCGTCATCGGAACGGTCCTGAATGGAGACCCGAGACACTAGGAAACCAACTGAGAATGCTTTGACCATCAATTAAACGAGTCTTTGAAGTGGCACTGAATGAAAAATAAGCCTACTCCGAAGCTTATAAAGTCGCGCAAGTTACGATAAGAGAGAATATCTCATTTTAGCCTGGCTTTTCATAGAATGGATGTCAATGATGAGCTTAAACTCCGCCCATCGTTTGTGTTATTTAAAGTCAAAACAAATTTCCACAGTAAAGTCATAAAATTATAATTTCGAAAGCAGTATAAAAGGATATTACAAACCCTGGTAATCAAGCATGATTTCTTGATTCATCTAGAGTAACAGGTTTAAAGAACATCTCGTCGTATTCGTTCTCCTCCCTGAGAAATGCGAAGTACATGCCGAAGATAAAAACACTAGTAAGAATGATTGGATAGTGATACGGCGGCACGTCACGCGGTTTTGGAAGAAAATTCATTGCTGCATGCCATTTGATGTTTTTTGAGTAGGGCAACTGTCCATTGCTAAGATCAATACGGATCTCTCGCGGTATTTCTTGCAATGATTTGGTTGCCAGATGTCTCGACAGCCATCGCAATGGTGCTGAAACTATCCGGGTTTGAAACGAAGGCATCTAAAGGGTATAAGGAAGAAACGTCAAATGGGAGACAGCTCGAGGTGGTCATAAACGGCTACAATGGCGATTTGGCATGTATAATTTCATAAAACCACAGGTAGTAAAATAAGCACACGAGAAAACGAAAAACACCAGACCATTTGCGTCTCATTACCTTGGAATGTAAAGGAAAAAGAGTACGTAGTTGTACATTGAATTCCTACGGCCACTATTTTGAAATTAATTTGAAATGACAAATTTACACAGCTGGAGCACGATGAATATATGTAATTTCTTTGAAAGCACATGACGTCGTTTGGGACTATAAAGGCAGAATTCAAACGAGATATAGACGTCTTTAAAGCACAGAATATACATCTATGCCCGTGTGGGGACCCATACATTAGCCAAATAATACTGGCGATTTAATTCAACGAAGCAATTTGACAATCTCCTATGTACATTAACAATTGATGTGCTAGTTCATAAATACGATGTTTAACTAAGCAGCTCACTGGTAAGGCTAATGCTACAGCAAAATATCGACATTTCAATTTCAAAATAAAACCACTTGACATGAATAACTATGACTCATTTAACAACATGAAAACTGATACCCGATAGCACCGCCTCCTGAGATTACACAGATTCTGCAATCAGCCGCTAAATTACTATGCGTTTTAAACATAGACTTAGCAACAGAAAATTGAATGGAACATAATGTCATTCAAAAGATAAACAGCTAGAAAATATAATTTATGTAAGTCATTTATAAATTCTTACCCCAGTGGTAACACTGCTGCTTGCATTATTTGATTGATGGCAACATTGATAGTAGTTCAAGGAATATATATATATATATAGAATATACAGAATATATATATATATATATATATATATATATATATATATTTGT